CAACTATTACAACAGACCGAGGAGCTCAATTTCAATCAACTCTGTTTCGAGAGTTTACGAGACTCCTTGGAGTGAACCATATCTCCACTACAGCTTATCATCCTGCAGCGAATGGTCTGGTGGAACGTTTCCATCGACAACTGAAAAGCTCGCTTATGGCACAAGCTGACTCATCTAAGTGGAGTGAACACCTACCATTAGTTCTTCTCAGTATCCGATCAACTGTAAAAGAAGATTTGGGATGTACACCAGCTCAACTTGTGTATGGTACTACCCTCACATTGCCTGGTCAGTTAGTTCCGTCTAATGATTCAACTGAAGTAAATATCTCCGACTTCACCAACCGCCTTACCCAGCAAATGCTCCAGCTTCGACCAGTAGCCCCTCGCCAATCACTTCAGAAAGCTCAAGTAAATAAGAATCTACTCACTAGCAAATTTGTATTTGTTCGCGTCGATGCCATTAGAAAAGGTTTACAACATCCATATGAAGGTCCTTTTCTAGTACTTAAACGCACCGATAAATACTTCACGCTGAACAAACATGGTAAACCGGAGACTGTTTCTATCGACCGTCTTAAACCAGCGTACACCGACAGCGAACATGAAACACTAGCAACGCCGACACCAATAAACAATCAGAAAGTCAATGCAACTCCAACTCTCCCTCTCTTCACTCTCCCCCCTGTACAGACACGCAGTGGACGGCAGATCTGTAAACCTGCCCGCTATGTTCATTTTATTGACTGACATAAAAAAGAAAGTACGTTAACCTCATTTAGACATTCTTCTCATTACTATTGTTGTCGAGATTCATTTCATTATAACCATTAATATTTATTAGTATTATTGTTTGCTGTTCGTTAACTGTACTGCAAGCACACGCATTCACCAAGTATATGTATATATATATTTATATATGAATTTCACAAATGTTAACGAACATGTCATGGTTTATTATGTACATAAATTTTTTATTTAAAATTATAACAAGTTTTGATTTTTTTAAAATTCCTGTATGTGCTTGTATGTGCTAAACTTTATACGACACGGATGCATTCCATACATCCTGATCTAACTTTGTATCCTTATTGTTGTTGATGTTATTTTTTGTTATCCTTATTGTTGACATTGTCCCTTATTTATATTGCTTATATTCATGTAATCGTCCACGAGGACAGTACTGATGGTCCTCCGGACCTCTAAGAGGGGGAGCCCTGTGGAGTCCTCAAAAATAAACTTATCCAAATTTTACTACTATGTAAATAATGAACATATTGTACACCACTTTGTTTTAACCATAAACTCTGTACTTTGAACTTTACCTCGGGTTTTGAATAAATATATAGTTCTGCCTTCGACTCTCCGTCTTCTCCACCATCTCAACTGCCGTCGATCAATTTTAATCACCTGCTTTCTATCTCAAATTTTTGCAGGAGCACCGTAGTTCTTCCTACGTACTTTGGTCGACCTCCGGCAACGTCAACATTGGAGAATTAGTACTGGAGCAGTCTTCCCGCAGCACCTGGAGTCTATAACGTTTATTGTGGACTTTGGATCTTTGTAAACCCAAGTAACCAAACTTTAATACATTCTTCCCGTAACTAAACTGATTTGGTACTTTATTTTCTATTTGAATTTGGGTAACTGAGCTAACCGAGTGAAAGGTCCTTCACACCTGTGCCTTACTGTTTTCAGCTAATTGCAGAGCTGTTTTTGAAAACTCACGTTGAAGCTGGGTATTATCCTTTCAGAGGCAGACCAATTTCACAAGATCTATGTCATCAATTCGGACGAGGGAACAAATGCACCATGAAACATATGCCACAGTGTTTTTCACTCTAAATATCCTATGTAAATTGAGAGACGCAGTCGAGTTGCAGTGATTCCCCTGGTGAATACTTATATTAAGTCGAGTTCAGAAAGTACGTAAGAGGTTTGTGGTTAGTGAAAATTATGTATTCACGACCCCGCACTGAATGCCAGAATTGCCGTAAAGCACATAGCGAAAACGAATATCTGAAAATTTTCAAACAGAGAACATAGATAAATTTAATGAAGGAAAAGACACCTTAAAAAGCAACCTGTGCTTTGAAAGCTTGCAAACCATTCGACATAGTACACAACTTTAACAGTATTTACTCCCACTGATTCATCCAGGTTTATGCCGCGGATACTTGAGTTATTCCAATTTATCCGTAAGCTAGCAGGACGTACCTCGGTTGTGGTTTCCCACAGAAAGGTGTTGTAGTGGTAGATAATTCCCTGAAATAACTAGCCACAACATTCAGCATTAAACATTACATGCTGACACTCACTGTTTAGGTCAACTTGTTGAGCTAAATGCTCATTGACCAGTGCATACGGCAGTTGTACCATAATGCCGCATGCCAAATAATCCACAACAGGAAACTCATGGAATCCTTCGAAGTGAAGACAAGAGTAAGACAGGGCTACCTATTACCTCCAGTGATTCACGTGATTGCGGTAGACAGGATAATGCGAGAGACAGTGGGTAGCAAGGAAATAGGCATAAAATGAACCTTCACACAAAAAAAACTTGGAGGATATGGATTTCGCCGATGATCACATGTGTCTGATTTCCCACAAACTATGAGATATGCAAGTGAAAAGCAACAAGTTGGCAGAAGAACCATCCAGAGAAGATAGGACTTCACGTGAACATAGAGAAAACAGAGGTGATGAATATTCCTGGCCAACAGCAACACCACCAGCAACAACAACAGACGAAAATCAGCATAAATAGGAGAAATCTGAAAAAAGCAACTTCCTTCACCTACCAACATACATTGGAAGAGTCGTCTCAACCACAGGCGGACGGAACTGATGACGATATCAAAGCGAAGAACTGGACGCAAGGTAAGCTTTCATTACTCTCGAGTCTGTGAGGAAATCAACAGCACTCAGCATGAAAAATAAGATCCGGATTTTCAACTCCAATGTGAAGTCAGTGCTACTTTCTATACGGATCAGAGACTTGACGTGTCATGAAAGACACTTCAAACAAACTGCAGAACTTCATCAACAGCTGTCTTCGCTGAATACTACTCAGGATCAGATGGCCAGCCAGAAAAGACCAGCACCGGGTATCTCTGGAAGCAAACGAACCAACCCAGCAGGAACCGATTGTGCAACAAATCTGCAGGAAGAAATGGAGATGGATTGGCCATACTCTGAGAAAACAAATCATCAAATGACATCACAAGCCAGACGACTGCTCGAGTGGAACCCGGGTGGAAAGTGGCGAGTTGGTCGTTAGTGCGAGGGTGACATGAGTGAGGTCATGTGATGAGCACGCTTCCCCGTTTAGCAGAAATGACGCCTTTATATGCATCATCCTTCCTCAGGACTCCATTATTTCTACTTGTCAAACAAGCACACCTAGAGTAGTCGATGAAAAATACGTACACAAATGGTAATCACTTCAATTCGGACGTCTGAAGTTGGACACTGAGTCAATAACGTCTCTCCAAGTTGTTTCACAAGGCGCTTCTGTGATTGTGTTTTGCTCTGAATTTTCCCTCACAGCTTGAGCAAATTCATTCCAAAACTTTCTTCGCCTAGACTGACACAGTAACCAGCTAAAAGTGTAAAACATTTGCTAGCCACTAAGATGGGAAGTTCTTTTGCAAAGGTATACCAGTGACGTGTAATGCAACCTACGAATGCGATTACTCTACCAGAGTGATGGTTCTTTGAGAAAATACTCGCTTTGAAAATCAAGTAAAGGTAATCCTCTTCCTAGATTCTTAATTATAAGCTCAAGGTTAGAAGAGTAGGTAACGAAAATGTCTGAACTGATGGAAATTTTTTATGATCATGAATTTGAATACCCATCTACTGGCTGTGAAATTCCGTTAAAATTTTATGAGACTTCTACCAACTGGAAGATAACATTAAAATATACGTATTTATCCCCATGAAACTTAAAGCCGAGATATCGCCCCTCCATGCTGCTCTCCAAAGTCTTTTTCTCTGCCCCTACTTTTTCACAGTAGCTGTCATTGCCTCTTTACATGATCTCCACCAAGTTACACAGGAACCCAACTCTTCACTTTCTTCCACACAAAGGACAAATGTACTTCTGTCATGAATAATAATCTTTCTGAAAAGTGGAAGCCCACTAACTATTATCTTCTCAGGAGCTCATTTGTTGGGATATAATCCCTTTAAAGTTTGATCACGGATTAATATATCCTGGAAAACCGTTGAAAATGAGAAAGTATCAGATAGTTCATTGTTCCTAGTTAAGGACTCTTCGGTAGCACATACCTACTGAAGTTCAAGCTAAGGACCTTCCAATCACAAAACAAGCTTGTGGACCACTCAGACACTGAAACCTGATTTTAGAAGATCTCGTGGTTTAGATTTTCAACTAAGTTATTCATGAAGGCGTAGGACGCTTCTCCACCCTTTGCGTGTTGAGTCAATTTGCCTAAAACCAGATGTCAATGGAGTTGAAGATTGAACAATCAATTCATGGTTGTTTGCTCAAAATCAACTTCCCCAATTTTCGCGGAGGCATCAATACGACAGTCATCGTCTCATCGGTCGCTGTTCAGAAAGAAGAGTGAAACATCGTCAGAAGTAATACAATGATTTATTATTGTAATATTTGTTTTCAGACCTTAGTTCGCTTATTCCTTTTATATGTTGGTGTAACAATAAAGAAATATCAAACGGCAGATCTGTGTTTTGGTTTTTTCGTCCGTTATAACTAAGCGTTTCTGAAATCTTCGAAGAACAGCGTGGGCCCGAGCGTAGCGAGAGCTGGGCATTAACGGTTTATGAGACGTGGCTGACAGTTTCTGACGATAGAAACAGATCTGGCGGATTCAAACAGTTGGTGAAAGTTTGGATAGTCGCCGTTCATTTTCCTGGTGCCGGTCAAGTCCTCTTTGAACAAGCAATATCTGGAACTTTTTGGAATTGGGTCAAGTTCAACAATGCCTGGGTCAAAGAAGGGACAGAGTGTCTTGGATGCAAACAGGAAAGTAAGTCATGGTGACTTGTCTGTTAATTGTAACGATGTGTCTGATGTTAAGCATGACATGGTTGATGTTACTGTTTCGCCGTTCAGGGATAATAGGAACATCAAACTCCCTAAATTTGAACCACGGTGTTTTGATGGAAACCCGGCTGATTATTTACAATTTGTAAAGGAGTTTGAGATCATGTTGAGTAGTTTTTATTAAGTGATGAATTGAAGTTAATGTATTTGATGAGATATTGCACTGGAGATGCTGCAAGAGCTATACAGTGTTGTAAGTTTATGAAGCCAAAAGAGGGCTACTACGAGGCTATGAGCATATTACGTCAAAGGTTTGGAAGACCTTCGATGATTGCAGGGAAATTATTCGAGGCTGTTAAGGGTAATGGTGGTCAATTACAGGATGACTCCCAGGCACTCACTGAGTTTTTAGATAATTTGCTAATTTACAAGAATGGAATGATTTCGATGAATCGCGTGAGTGACCTCAACTCGAGTTTTATACTAGAAGTAATAGCAAGACGTCTACCTACTCGACTGCAAAGGAAGTGGGTGAAGATGAGCTCCCGTATGGAGGATGAGGGTATCGAGCCAAAGTTTGATGATATCCTGAAACTGGTAAAAGATAGTGTCAATCAATCTATGAGCAAGTTTTCCAGTCTATTAGATCTCACCCCTAGAATAGAGCAGTCTGAGAGCAAAATGCAATCATTGATGACGAATAGGCCTCAGAGAGGTGGATATCGAGAAGGCTCCATGATGTCTAGTAATGCATATAGACCTAGTGAGTGTAACAGGTTTCGTAGTACATCCTCAACAGATAAGTTACAAGATGCAAGACAAACACGGTTGTGGTTTACACGTGTGCAAGAGGTGCATACAGAAGTGAACTGTGAACCGGTGAGCAAGTTCAGTGATAAGCTAAATGTAAACTCCAGGTCTGACTCCGAATTGTGTGACGATAACGGTGTTGTGAAGAAGTCTGTAGTTGCAACTGGTAAGCCGTTGTTGAATAGAGTGTCACAGAATAGAGTTACTGCTTCAGAGTGCAGTTCTGACTCCAAAAGTTTACAAAGTATAACTAGTCAGAGTGAAGATATAAAACCTTTAATGATTTGTGAGGAGGAACCAAAATTGTCTACTTCTGTTATTAAAGAGTTTGAAAATGATGAAGTTGACGGTAAAGTGAATATTCGTGATAATGATCATGATTGTGCACATTTGTCTTTGGTTGATCATGATGAGATGAGGGATATGCCTACTACTGCTAAGTTAAATAAAGGTTCTGTACAACTACAACGTGAAGTAGAATTGAACGCAGATGCAGTTCCAGAAGGTGTGCATACTTGTGAGACAGTCAGTGTAATTGATCAGCGTGTAGCCCACCTATCATCAGATGATAGTGCTAAACCCGAACTAGTAGTGAAAGACAGCAGTGGTGGTAATCTTGCAGTTGGACAACTATCTGAAAGCCGAAAAAGAACAGCTTCTGATCCACCGCTAAGTTCATCACCTTGTGTCACTCAGTCATCGTTGGTGTTTTCATCCACAATGAAACAGATGCCCATCAACTCAAGTATCTTCTGCAATGACTATGATAGTATTGGTGCGTTTGAAAAGACGAAAGATATTGGTCAGTTTAGTGAGAATAAGCCAAGTGTAAACGAGAGAGTAATTGTTAAATTGACTTGCACGAATAAAGGCATTTCTAGTTTCAAGTTACTATTTGAATGCTATTATCTTTGGTGTAAATTACTCTGTTTCTACACTTGGTTGATGAGATATGTCGTGTGTTTGTTCGTCATCTATATTCTACGATACAATGACATGGGCGTGTTGCCGTTCAGATTTGAGGATATAGCTCATAGAAGGAAGTCAGCAAATGAACTCTGCGACGATTTTCCAACCTAGGGCGTCAACCTGAGAAGGGTTGTAGGCGTACTGCTGTAAGTCCTACAATTCTTCAAAGGGTAGCGCATCAATGAGCAGTCCAATGTGCTTGGGGTGTGATTTTGTACATATGTTCATATTGTATATACTGAATTGATATCATCTGTCATCTAGCTGTTGGTAATTCTGTTTGTGTCCGGACGACTTCCACTTGGATCATCAACCTGAGAAGGAATGTAGGCGTACTGCTGTAAGTCCTACAGTTCTTCAAGGGTAGTTTGTCGTGCCAGAATCCACAACATTTGATGTGTTGATTGTACATATGTTTGTGTTAAATAATTGTGTGAGTTCCAATTGATGTAATTGTTGGTTAATCTTGTTTGTGTCCGGACATTCCACAAATTACAATCGTCAACCTGAGAAGGGTTGTAGGCGTACTGGTGTAAGTCCTGCAATTCTTCAAAGGAATTCCACCAAGACATGATCGGCGAGGTTGTTTGTACTATTTGTATATACGTGTGGTGTGTCATATCAATTGGTGTATTTTGGATTCATTGTGTTTACTTGTTGTTTTCGTGTCTTGTTGTTATTGCGTAATTTTGTTAAAATTTTCGTCGTGATTACTTCTGAAGTTGTTTCGAGTCTTCTACATCCATGAATGAATTGATTGATGTTAAGGACAGCAGATGGGTCGTATACGCCGGGGAGGCTATTGCTGAGAATGAAATGCACACGGAGATAATTGTTAGCTGCGGTCCGACACGCCGGGGAGAAAGAGTGTAAACGACTGAGGCTCGCATGCGTCACCGCTACTAGAACTGAGGCAGAATGAGTGACAAGCGATTTCAGTGGTAATTGGTAATGAGTAGATAAGAGGATGTGCGTAGAGTATCGTGAGGTGCTGCCATGGTCACTTTGCATTCTGCAAGAGTCATTCTAGTAAGTGGCGATTGTGTTGCAAGATGTCAAGAGGAGGTCTCTGTCTGGAGGCGCAGGTCGTCATTGATGTGTGAGATTGTGCTGTGGGTATGCTTGTGGTGTGTTGGCTTTTCTGTTTGTTTTCCATTTCAGCTCTGTCCGTGTGACCCAGGTTCTCGCAATGGCATCCAAGTCAACGTGCATTGGTCGTGAAGGAAAAAAGGGTTGGATCCCTTTTTTGCCGGGGAGTGTCAATGGAGTTGAAGATTGAACGATCAATTCTTGGTTGTTTGCTCAAAATCAACTTCCCCAATTTTCGCGGAGGCATCAATACGACAGTCATCGTCTCATCGGTCGCTGTTCAGAAAGAAGAGTGAAACATCGTCAGAAGTAATACAATGATTTATTATTGTAATATTTGTTTTCAGACCTTAGTTCGCTTATTCCTTTTATATGTTGGTGTAACAATAAAGAAATATCAAACGGCAGATCGGTGTTTTGGTTTTTTCGTCCGTTATAACTAAGCGTTTCTGAAATCTTCGAAGAACAGCGTGGGCCCGAGCGTAGCGAGAGCTGGGCATTAACGGTTTATGAGACGTGATTGACACCAGAAGATGACTGTTGTCAATGTAGTTGAAGATTGAACGATCAATTCATGGTTGTTTGCTAAAACCAAACCCTATATTTTTCGCGAGAGTCATAAATCCAGCAGTCATCGTCTCATCGTTCGCTATTCAGTGGAAGATAGAAAACTATCAGAAATCTTGTGTGCAATAACCCATATTGGCGTATGAATAAAGGATTCTTGAGCCGCCAATTAGCGTTCTGGTTTTACGCGTTGGTTATTACAAATTGTTTCTGATAGTCTTCCAGGGACAGCGTGAGGTCCAGCGTAGTAAGAGCTGGACATAAACAGTTTCCGAGAGTTGGCTGACTTGTCTTGGAAGAGATAAAAGACAATCTCCCTCTAGGAACCACATATATCATCAGGCAACCTTCGTTGTTAAAATGTGGCAGGAAGCACATGCTACATGTATTATTAGGAACTCTCCAGAAGGTATGCTGACCGAAAGGGAAAGAGCAGAATCGGGAATTTCATACGTATCAGGACGTATGTGACGAATAATTCTTCGTACAACTAGGGGTTAAATATGTGGGAATAATAGAATGACAAAGTAGACAGGAAGTTCATGTATGAAAATATGGTAGTGTAAATAGAGATTAAGAAAAACTTAAAAAATAACGTGAATAAAGAGGGAGTTTGGATAAGAAAGGTAATGGGATAGTCACTATTAAAATGATTACCTGTTTATGATGGCAAGAGCAGGGACAGAGGTCGAACGTATTTCTTTTGAATACACAGCGTGGGTTTGAGCTTTTGGATAGCTAGTGCCTCGGATATGCCCAGATATCTCACGTTCACTCCCTTTGATAGGTTTGATCGAAACTTGTGTACTATTTTGAAGGATTTTTCGAGTGGCGCTGAATGTCCTGAATTAACCAGGTGTTCTGTCACTGAACTACATACAGGTTTTCGTTTTCCTTGTACAAGCCAGGCTGGATGTTGTTCACGAGCGCGTTTTTCAAGTTGGCGCGTGATAAGGTCGATGTACTCAGCTCCGCAAGAGCAAGTATGCTGGTATATGCACGTTGAAGTGGCCCAATGCAACAGTTTGTCTTTCGCGTTCTGGCTGAACAGTTTCTTGCAGGAAAACGTTGGTCGTAGGCTTGCGGCAAAGTATGTCTTCCTCAGAGATTTAGAGAGGCGTTTACGAAGGATTTTTGCCTCAGTGTCACCTTTGAATTCTAGATTAAGCAAGCGTATCTTCTTCTGGACGGGTTGGACTCGTTCGGCCGTCCTCTTTGATTTGAGGTTCCTGTCTATGAACCCGGGTGGAAAAACGTTCGCCGTCAAAGTTGCTTGGAGATTACGCAGTTCTTCATCAGTTTGTGGAGTCCTCAAAAATAAACTTATCCAAATTTTACTACTATGTATGAAATGAACATATTGTACACTACTTTGTTTTAACCATAAACTCGGTACTTTGAACTTTACTTCGGGTTTCGAAAAAATATATAGTTCTGCCTTCGACTCTCCGTCTTCTCCACCATCCCAACTGCCGTCGATCAATTTTAATCACCTGCTTTCTATCTCAAATTTTTTCAGGAGCACCGTAGTTCTTCCTACGTACTTTGGTCGACCTCCGGCAACGTCAACATTGGAGAATTAGTACTGGAGCAGTCTTCCCGCAGCACCTGGAGTCTATAACGTTTATTGTGGACTTTGGATCTTTGTAAACCCAAGTAACCAGACTTTAATACATTCTTCCCGTAACTAAACTGATTTGGTACTTTATTTTCTATTTGAATTTGGGTAACTAAGCTAACAGAGTAAAAGGTCCACCACAAGTTACTTCCTTGCTGCATATCTTCCGAATCCTCGAGGAAAGAACGTATATCGGGTTCCTCTTTCTGCTAAAAGGGCACGAAGCGTTGAAAGTTGATGAACTGTCTATTTCAAGCGGACTTTTTGTATATGAAACCTCTCAGAGATTTTGGTGTCTCTTGTCAGATGGACGTCAAAGAAGTGAAACACTCCGTCGGATTCAGCCTCAAGAGTAGAGTCATTGTCTTGGTTGGCATTGTCAAAGGCTTGAGGTAAGATTTCAAGGTCCAGGTTGTCATCACAAATGATGAAAGTATCATCAGTGAATCTCTCGTAGAGAAGGAGGTCGTTGATAGTCGATGATATGGAGTTGTTTTCTAGGCTAGCCATATAGCAGTCGGCCGGGAGGGGTCCCAGGGGAGAACCCACTGCTAGTTTATCAACTTGCCTGTATATTTCGTTGTCGAAACTCAGTGGTTAGGACTCTCGTCGACCATGCACATGGTCCGGGGTTCGAGCCCACGCCGACGCACACTTGATATCTATGGTCGGCCTGGTCGGGCTACCGATATCCACGCTGCAAATTCCACACTTGTACCAAAAATACGGTGTGGAATCAAGCTGTAATCAAAAAATAAAAAAATACGTTGAAGGTACATCGTGGTAACCGTTTTTTCAGGAATGTTAACCACATCACAAAAATGGTAGATTTTGATGGGTTCGTCAGTGTTATAGACTTCTTATATGCCTGGACTCGAAATATTTTTATTTTCACATACTTAACAATCAAATATCAAGTTTTTAATCAACTCCATCTCGAACTGTATCTCCCTTCTTTCTGTTGTGTGTGCATCTGCTTACATTGTTCTACGCATCTTACACTAATCCTCCAGCCATAGTGCTTCCCTACCCCCTCTATCGATCCCCTTTCATCTCTAGAAGTGCCATTTTATCTGGAGCATTTGTCGACCTAACAGGATTATCGCCCAGTGAAATGGAATTAACAATGGTAGCGGTACAATTGCAGTGTTACAAATATAAAAAATATCTATTCCCTCCGAAATAACGTGATGTGCCTCATCCTAATACATTCAGAAAAGCTACAGAAGTTGATCGTACAGAGTGATTTGGAATCCACTAAAATCGTAGAACCGTTGCAAAATGTCTGGATGAAATTATAAGGTTTACCCAGGCTCCCTTAAAATAAATTGTTGGGCTACTTCCATCGAGAACTACCAATGCTATGGGAGGTAATCGGCTGCACAAATAAATCAGGAGATTATCAAAGATAAGGAACCTTCATATTACCACCAAGAAATAGGCTCAACGAAACACGTTTGGCTTATACTGGGTATTGGCTAGTTGAAAGGACACGCCTTGCCAACTACAGACAACTCTTTTCATTATAAACTGCTGGTATCAAGCATCCCTTTGACCCCTGTCCAACGTGTCATGAAGCTCAGTCGGTATGACTCACAGCAATCCTCTTCAACTCAGGAGTAAACACAAACGCTAGAACCTGTTGGTCACACTTGAGACCCCCGGGGACCAGAAAGTAATACATATTTATTTTTATTTTTTTGGTTACAACTTGATTCCACAATGTATTTTTGGTGCAAGTACGGAATTTCCAGCATGGATATCGGTAGCCTAAATTTTGCAGGTCGACCATAGATATCAGGTGTGCGTCGGCAGGGGATAGATGGTCGGGAAGAGTCCTAACCACTGCGCCACTGACGCACAACACCCTTAGGAACAAAGATACTGCAGGCATCCACTGATCAAAGACGAAGTTCGAAGCACATACAGCTCAAGGTGCGACGGCGCAACCTAAAAAATTTCTTGTGCATGAACTTCAGGAATAAGGCATCCAATGTTGTCCCAAATCTAACTGCTGACAATGACACAGTCGAAGATCAAGAAAAAGCAGACTAATTCCCGCAAGTCTTTATTTGGGAGTTGTCATACGCCATAGGATCAGCTCTGGCTGCATCAGAGGAACACATGATAGACTCCGTTAATGTCGACCAAGGCATCGTGATCAAGTGCCTAATGAAACTGGATGCAGGGAAATCCATGGGTCCTGATAACCTTCATCCAAGGCTTCTCAAGAAGCTGCTTGCCCCGAAAACCCGGCCCACTGACCACGATATTTAACCTATCTCTCCTAAATGGAGGGTTACCGCAGGACTGAAAAGACGCCAAAGTAGCCTCCACCTAGAAAGAAGGATCAAGATAAAGCCCTTCAATCTAGAGGCCTATTAGCCTCGCCAGCACCTTAATTAAGACACTGGAAAGAATCACCCAGGAAGGTACTACGGCATATGTAGAGAACATCAATTTGTTATCCAAAGCACAGTACGGCTTCCAGGGAAACCTCTTATGCCTATCAAATCTGCTACAGAAATCTAGGTCGAATCAAGGGACAGCAGAAGAGCCGTTAACATCATCTCCATAGACTTCAGCAAAGTCTTCGATAAAAGTCCTCAAAAAAGACTATGCATAAATTTGGAGTCTTGGTATCAAAGTCAGCTTACTAAACTGGATAGGAGAATTCCTTATAATTAAGAGGTAGCGGGTCAGGATCAACTTGAAAGTCTCTTCCTGGACAACAATGCGTAGCGGAGTGCCAGAAGGGACGATACTCGGGCCTCTCCTATTTGTATTGCATATCAGTGAGTTATGCGAGCTCACTGGTTCCTCAGTGGTCCTAAATGGAGATGGCTTAAAAATCTGGAGAGCTGAAGGGCTACAGTGAAACGCTCACATTACAAGAAGATCTCAACTAATTGTCAGAGTGGTCTAGAGATCGGAGGCTCCCGATTGGTGTAGCGAAATGTACAACCATGCACATCAAACACGCAAGCATCAGCCCCTACGAGTGAGAGGGAATAATACCCCCATCAGTTCAGGCCGATTTGGATTTAGGTTTCATAGTGAGTCACGACTTAAAAACTACAGCAAACTGTCGCGCGGTAGTGGCATACAGTTTTAAATTCTTATGAGCAATTTGCAGAGCCTTTATCCCCTTATGAACATCTCTTGTGAGGCCAAGACTGGGAAACTGTATCCAGACAGCCAGTCGTTGTCTTAAAGGGGACCCTTATACTATAGAAAGGGTTCAAAGGAAGGCAACATGTATGATTCTCAGTATGACTAACATATCGAGGAAAGACTAGACAGTTCACATCTCTTCCCCTGTCATGCCGCAGGCAAAGAAAGGATTCAATTACAATAATCATGGACCTGACCTATTCTCTCTATTCCATCCTGCAAGGTCAGAACACCTTAGAGGACGTAGCAGGAGAGCTCAAAAGCCAAGGGGAAACCACAACGAGTCATAAACTACCAGAATAAGTGGTGTCTGCAACCTCAAGTGATTCATTCAAGAAGGGTTTCGACAAGAACAGAAATTTAGTAAAAAGGATTAACATAGGCTTCAAGCCTTCTATCCTCAACCAATAAATCTGAATTTGAAGTCTGAACTATTTTATGTGAACATGCCACACACTCTGAGGTGTTAACGAAATGACCACCCAGAAGCACACCGAAAGTTATTATAACTATTAAAAGAGGGAAGGAGCAAGTACTAGTTGATCAAAGAATATTTAAGGTATATTGAGGATTGTACATGGATCTTGATCACTCAAAACCTTTCAGCGCTCACTATGGATGAGTTGCTACCCTCGATTTTGGAACTAGATTGAATTTTCGGATAGAAGTAAGTTTTTGTTTGATGCTCATCTGTATGTTAGTTCATTTCTAATGTGTATATACCATCACATATTCTTATAATTTGAATTAAGTGTATAGAATCAAGGCATTGACTCGTCAAATGATTTTGGACAACGACCTCGAGGTCAATGGAATCCAAGCTTGTCATAATTCTGAATTAATTCTCAGTAATTCTGAAATAATTCTAGCATCCTATAGTGAGTAAATTCTGAATTTGTTCTGAAATCGTTTGTTTAGTGGCACAGACTAGAACTAAGTGCTAGTTTTCAGCATAACTAGCGCTAAATCAGAACCGTGTTCTTCTTTTAAGCATTGTTAGGAGTAGATCAGAACCTACCGGGTTTGCTTATCAGCTTTATTTCAGCCCTTTCAGAAATTTTCAGCATCGACTAGCACTATTCAGAACGAAAAGACTAATTCAGCACATAGTGGCAATTTGCCTAATTCAAGCCTTCGCAGATCATTTTCAGCATCGCTAGCACTAATTCAGAACGAAAAGATTAATTCAGCACATAGTGGCAATTTTTCAGCCTAATCAAGCCTTCGCAGATCATTTTCAGCATCGACCACTAATTCAAACGAAAAGACTTCTACTTATTACCATCACCTGTGTCCTACGCGGCGAATTCATTTAGTTTGCAGAAGAATCAGTTTTATAATTGAGACGTTTGTATTTACAAACTGTAGTACAACGTCACTGCATCCCGTCAAGTGCGATCCACTGGCAGCATCCTGCAAATAATCAGATAAAATATTAGTGGGTGAAAAATGTGCTCAGCACATTCTGAACATTCACATTTATAGAAGTTTACTTACATAAGTGCCACTGTTAGATCCCCGTATCTTTTTCATTACCTAAAAAATATTTGAAGAACTGTTTGATATAGATAAACCGTCATAGTTGATTCAAGCATATGTTGAAAAGTACCGTAGTCAACCCAACTATCTAGATAACGCTGCAGGTTTTCCTTCAGTCCAATGTGGTAGTAAACACCTTGTCCAAGAAATCTAGGTACACACATGCCACTATCTTTTAGCAAGCCTCTTATGGTTGTTGGCACATGTGGATTAAATTTACGAATACAGTCCAAGACATTTTGCGCAGCGCCCCTGTTACATTGTTCTGAAGGAACAATTCCATAATTGACTTTCTGACCAGCTCTCCTTGTGTCATCTTTTTAGGAACAACCTGAAGTTCTATAGAATTTAATTATTACATAATAATAAATGTTACGATTCTCTTCAATTTGTGAAACAACAGCGACGGTCTCACTACTATTAGGTAAACCACTGTTCCCTGGACAGCTGAACTTGAAGGCAAAGTTACTGTATTATCCCTTGCCACCTCTTCTGTAGATGAGCAGTAACGTTTCCATAAGTCCCAGTCACTAAATGCTGCATCACGTAACCGTTTTTGACGGCTATAAAATGTTGAGTAGCTGTATCCAAGGCATTCATGCAGTCTGCCAGAAGATATTTTTCTCTTACGACTTGTTGTAGAATGTTGAATACCCGTATTTAACACATTATTGAGTTGTTTTCCTTATAAGAGAATTGGACAAATATACACCAAAATCTAACTCACCTGCATGATTTATAAATCCTGTAAGAATTTAAACAGCGCAAATTTTGGGGGAATGCCTCATTCTTCCTTAAAAAACTACGAAACAATCGCAGAATTTTTCCGATCGAAGTGTGCCTCCTTAAGGTGTAAAATTCAAAACGGCAAAATAACCTCAAGCGCACAACAATTCTTGATTAATTTTAGCATCTGCGTCGATAATGGCTTTCTATGTTAAATGAATATCTTATCTACCTAAATTTAATCCAGTATGTACTATGAAAAACTGTCCGTTTCTAAAAAGAGCATTGGACATTTAATTCGATAAGTGCTGAAGTATTTCTAACCAATGCTGAATCTTGGCTGAGAGGGTTGAAATAAGGCTGATAAGCTAACCTAGTAGTTTCTGAACTACTTCTTAAAATACATAGAGAAAGCACAAAGTTCTGAATTAGTGCCAGTCATGCTGAAAACCAGCACAAATTCAGAATCTATTCACTATAGAAGGGGTAGTTCAGAATATGCGAAATTTAATTCAGCATTTTTGTGAGCTTGGGGTTATACAGGATGAAAAACTCATATATACCTGCTTTGCTTCTTGTGCTTGAGACATACCATCCGTTTTTAAACGCATTGATTCAAGAAACAAACTCGAGTTGGAAAAGTGGATCTTTTCACTTTCTCAGTCCTTCTGGCAGTTAGTTCTAAGGGTACATGAAGTATAGTATACATTATAGGAACAAAAAGAGGAAATTCGCGGCTTTTCTTTATTTCTGCCTCCCCCACGGTTTACTAAGCTCTCCCTTTACGTCCCCTTTTTGGAAGTTTTTCTTTATTCCTTGCTTGTGATTGGTGGAAAAAATTGCTACAGACTGTAAGATTAGCGGAGTAGTTTTTCGCTGGATTTTGACCTCTCTTCTTATGTTCTGTAGAATGCTTTTTACGGTAAGAGACGACAAAAGCATTCAGTCTACTTAGTTGCCCTTTGTATTACAGACTAATACGTATGGCTGTCCCTTGAACTCCTTATAGTATATATAGATCTACTTTTGGGCACAGAATTGTTGTTTGAATGCGATCCTGCGATTCTGTTCTCATCAGAAATACCTATTAAGTGGTGGAGATTTCACTACTGCCTACCAGGAATTCCTTGGACTTGTTGAGTAGACTGTTTTTTAGTGAAAAACTTTCCGGTTTCACGAGCAATCATTTTTGGAACATTTTGTCAGTGAACACAACGTCTCTTGTTTTCTGTCGTTTTTAGGTTTGTCATAAAATAAGTCCTCTGGAGACCTGTACTGTCTACCAGATAATAAGTTGTTGTTTTCCAAATAAGCCATGGTGGCCTTCTTGGTTGTTCTTTCCAGTATCCTAACAAAGTTGGTGGTAATACTGACAAACCGCAGTTTGCAGAATATTGCTTAGATCCTGTCTTGTAGATAGAGGTTCCTACTGCATACTCGTAGTAATGTGGTAAAATCATGTCAGGACAACTTAAAAGTGGTAGTCAAATGACCGGACCCACGTGCCCCACGTGATTCATCTTTCAAAATCGAATCGATCCAAAAGTATACGTTTTCTTCACTTATGCATAGCCGAAGCTTTAGCTATACATGAGCAGAAACCTAAATTGTGTGTTCAAAAAGGTTTTGTCAAACCCCTTTCCTTACCTTGGTCATCGTAACGTTCTTTCTAGTTTTTATTTTATTTTACCACTTAAATTCTTTCCACTTCACATCTTCATTCTTATCGTAATCGTACTCCTAATTTTCAAAATTTTTAGACAACACTTGACATTTTTGATATCAATTCACTTATAAAACAATCTTTAATATTTTTGTAATTTATCCACTTCAACTCTACCCCTTATAACATTGTAATTATCGTCATTCTTATCACATATATACGTACATTGACTGAGCAATTATTTAGTGCCACTTAATAACCTTTTTCTGTAATATAAATACGACTGTACAGTTAGCTTGAAAATGAAGTCGTTGAAAAGAAATTTCTTCGCTGAACAAAAACTGTGTTCTGTATTAGTAATCGGATCGGGGATGTTTTTTCTTGAGGTAATTCCTTCGGGGTATTTAATTATCTTGAGCTGGATGCATTTCGAATTCCATCGGTTATTGATGATTTCATTCAGTAGCCTTTTTCTAGTTTCAGCGTATAGCTTCCTGGCGTCCAGATTACTTAAATTAATAAGAGCTTTTAACATGAACTGAAATCCTCATTCTTTGTTGGAACATAAGATTTCAAGCCATAGCAGATGGAACAAGCAGAAATTAGGTAATATACAGGTGATATTAGAAGCCTTGAATATTATTTACGCGTTTTCTAGGAAATTACCATATCCTCATGGCTTTTTCCCGAGAAGTACAATTACTTTTTAATTAAATTTTCCGGAATGATCGTATTATTTTGTCTAAATGGCTTGTCACTTTGGTAGTTGCTTTTTGTGTAAAATAACATGTTGGTTTGTTCCAGTTTCTGTGCATTATTTATGTGCCAAACTATGTGCGACATGATCTTGTAGTCCTAACATTTATTTACGGTTATTCGTTTTCGCTTTAATCGCAAATGTAAACTAAACATATATCTGAAAGTGTTAGTTCTGATAAGTATACAGAGTCTTTTAGATGAACAACAGTAGTATTAAACTGTTTGATTACGTCAGCGTCAGTTATATGTACCATGTTCACCGTTCGTCAGCTTAAATAATTACACCACGTTCTACACAGTACAGCGTATCTGTATAACAATTTTGCAGACATCCCTACTTTTATAAATCTTTCTGTAGCACAATTATGTTAAAACAGCTTTTGCATGAACATCTTACTGTTTTACTTTTTAGCTTCTATACATTAGTATGGGAATTTACGGGTTATGGGGAGTACTGTCACCTGTTCAAGAATACCGTCCATTGGTTAAAATTGGCTGTGACTCAGTTGCTGTTGATCTTAGCATATGGATTTGTGGAGATAAGTCAATCGGATCAATGCCTGGATTGCATTTGAGGTACGTTTTGCTACACATTGACTCTCATTTTTCTTACTTGTACTGTGAGTATAAAGTGTTCGAAACAATGAATGCATCCATCCTGCTATGGTTAGTCTTGAGGTATCTAGTGCCTTGCAAAATAACCTCACCAGAGAAATATTACCAACTAAAGTTCGCCGTTCAAAAACTTCTGAGACTGACATACATCTAGAAATCTTTTGGGGACTAGAAGATAGACTCTGAATAAACACTTGGCAGTAGTTGTTTCGTATACTTTGATATCTTAAGACCTACCATGTATACAAAGAGGTGTCCTTATCAGTCAGACTAGATCGATTCCCATGTAGTAATTAGTGTATTCGTTAATTCAACCAATTCAACAGATACCCCTCATAAATCTGTCTGTATGTTTTTAACATAAAATTTCGCACCGATGTTCACCAGTTCAAGTCGCCACACTCCCTCTATGTAGCACACAAAGCAAGAGAATAAAGTAGAAGAAATGCAAAATATAGACAGTAGACAGGGATATGAGACAAAGGAATAGTAATAACGAAGAACAATATAGTTTCATTGGAAATTAAAAGTCACAAGGAGTGGATGCATCTGCACCAGCCATTGAGAACAACGATTTTGAGCCAGCCATATCACCAATTGTCTCCATCCTTCATTGGTTTCTACCGGCCCGACCCGACCGATAGCTGCTACCTTGACGTGGTGGTTGGGCTTGCACATCGCAATGACCCAACAAGCTATACTGGATGGAACTATTGTTCCTCCAGTTCCTACCATGCCAGGAAGGTTGTTAGGATAGAGATTAGACTAAAAGCAGTTACACCAGCTTAGTGTAAGAATCTTTTCACATTATGCTGGGAGTCTGTGGGCGAAGTCGTACTGCTGGGGAACAGGAATGTAACAGGATTCGGGTGTTTCCCGACACGCTAGCTATGCTGTCTTTCCACTCTGGAGAGGGGACGGGGTAGAAAAGGTCGACCCAACAATTGTACATCCTGACTTACCTCACAGTGATCCGTAACCGGTGGTAAGTTTACTAATACGGAGCCTAACCCCTCATAAATAGTTCTATGTTTAACAAATTGAAGCTTCGAGTGTTTCGTCTATCTTATACGTATGAGCTGGATAATTTACACAGAGAGGGTGTTCAGCTTAGATCTATACTATCCACGATAAATTCACTACAACAGTGGATTTTGGCCTGATTGACGAATTAAATGCAGTTTTCGAGGCAGGTACATTAGAAGGACAAAAAGATGGTTCTATCTTAAATCCTCTGAACACATACTGGAAAGTTTACGATCAAGAGGAAGTAAATCTTTGAGCAGTGTATAGTTACGCCACATCTGACTGACATAGAGTTGTTGAATTGCTTCAAAATGGCAAACAAACCTCAAGTCTCTTGAAGTTCTCAGAGGTCAGCTGTTATCAAGGGGCTAAAATCCGATTTATATAATAATAAAAGGAAGCTATAGTAGATTTCCTTCTCTACATTGTTTATTTGGCTCTTGACTTTTTAGGTCATATAATTTATTATTAAAGGTAAGTGCTGATTTCTTTTCACTTTCACTTGGTTGCATAATCACCTACTAAGTGCTGTGCTTCATTTGTCTCATACATAACCAAATGAGCTTAAATCAAAATATTGTAGTGGATATTTCATTTGTTTACTAATGATTTTTTAGTGACTTGTGCTATCTTATACCCCCCCTCCCCATATATCTTGTTATTACTCCTGTCCTTTTTTCAAGAAATTCCTTTTTCATTGTAGTTTTAGTCACTGCAAGTCATTTCACTTTGCTGACTTGTCATTTCGATACATCCATGATCATGCTTAATTATTGTTTGACGTTTGTTTATCTGATGCATTAATGCATGTTACGAAACTACCAATATTCATTATTCAGATTATAAGCAGCTGACATGATTATTATTTATTCTTTGGCCTCCAAGTGGAATGTAGGGCTTCAATAGCTTACTTCCATCCTACTCTGTTTATTTTCTGTCACCTTCAAATGGCCTCAAGGCCGCGCACACGCTATTTATTATTCACTCTTCACATGTTATTCATGTCACCTTCGGAAGCTTGACCCTTTGTTACTCTATTCAGGTAGTTAACAAGATACTGACGAAAAAAGAGTTCATTTTATCATGCTCCATGTGTGTTATAATTGTTTTATCGATAAACGTGTAACTTTATATGTGTAAACACTATAATCATGCTGATTTAAAGTTGACACTTGTATTTAGTAATCGTCTCAATCTTTGTTACTACTTTTAATGATATACCAATTAAACGGAACACAACAGAACAGGGAGAAATTAGGGTAACTTAATTCACCATAGCCATTATTATTATTATCGTTTCGTTTAGTTCCTAGAGGAACATAGGGCTTCAGCCGCACGTCTCCATTGCATTCCGTCCTCCGCCAACGTTTCCACCTGGCTCCATGTCTGTCTAAATACTTTCATCTCCTCTTCACATGACCTCCTCCATGTCACTCTCGCACTGACGACCAACTCGCCACTTCCCATTCGGGTTCCACTTGAGCGTTGGCCTGGCTTGTGATGTCACTTGATGATTTATTTTCTCAGAGTGTGGCCAATCCATCTCCATTTCTTCCTGCATATTTGTTATACAACCGGTTCCTGGTTAGTTCACTTCCAGAGATCGCTGTCACGAAGACAGCTGTTGATGAAGGTCTGTAGTTTGTTGGAAGTGTCTTTCTTGACAAGGCGCCAAGTCTCTGATCCGTATAGTAGCACTGACTTCACATTGGAGTTGAAAATCCGGATCTTATATTTCATGCTGAGTGCTGTTGATTTCCTCACAGACTCGAGAGTAATGAAAACCTATCTGGCTTTCCCGATCCTCGCGTTGATATTCTTATCAGTTCCGTCCACCTGTGATTGAAACGATTCCTCCCAGATAGGTAAGTAGGTAAAGGGGATTGCTTCTCTCAGGTTTCTCCTATTTATGCTGACTGTTATCTGTTGTTGCTGCTGTTGGTGTTGGCCCAGAATCCTTATCACCTCTGTTTTCTCTATGTTCACCTGAAGTTTTTGCTGTCTTTAATGCTTCTCCTGCGACTTGTTGCTTTTCACTTGCATATCTTCTAGTTTGTAGGAAATCAGACATATATCATCATCGGCGAAATCCATATCCTCCAAGTTTTTTTTGTGTGGGTACATTTTATACCTGTCTCCTCGTTGCCTGCTCTCTGTCGCATTATCCAGTTTACCGCGATAAGGAAAATCATTGGAGATAGTAGGCAGCCAACCAACCTTGTCTTACTCCGGTCTTCACTTCGAAGGATTCCTTTAGTTTCCCGTTGTGGATTACTTGTCATGCAGCCTTGTCGTACAACTGTTGGATGAGATGTATAATTGTTGGCAGCACCCCATAGTAGCGAAGTAGTTTCACTGTAGCCAACTTTCTTTAAAAATTAGGTATCGGAATAGGTTTGTGATCTTTATTCACATTGGGTAAGGTTTCATTTTAGTATTAACTCATTTGTGCTTAATTTCTTAAAGAAAACATTAGGCAATTTTTAATACTTCTTATGTGATTCCTCCTCTTATAAAACTAAATTTTATTTTCATTTGAACAGGAATCTATTTTTTCGGTTGGTTAGCTTGTTGCGTCAGAACACATTACCAATAGCAGTTTTGGATGGTGTCGCTCCAACACTCAAAGCAGGTGTTATGGAGCATAGGCAACAGAAATGGTAAGTTGTTTTTTTTTGAAATATTTAGAGGATTTGCGCCAAACCAACTTTCCTTTTTTATCAACAGTCTAGTTCATTTAGATGATGACCAACTTTTCTCCCATCTTAGCCTAATTAGTACACTACAAACGACGTGCTACGGCTTGTAGGCGAGTAGACTTTGATCATCCTTTCTAAATGTTCTCATGTGGTCACACGTTCATAGCTTATTACTGCCTTCATGCAAAGCGGGAGTATTCCTCACAAAAGCGAAAGACCAAATCCGGACGTCTGGCACATACAAATGTGTACTGATGCACATGCTGCTCTACCTGTTTGAGCTGGAGATCCCTGGTTCTAAACCCATGGGCTCCAAAATCCCGAAGGATCCGATAGTGTATGAACCTGTTTCAGTCACCAGACTCCGTGAGAATGCAGCTTTCGACACCGCGCCAGTTCATTGTGGATCAGGCTTCAAGTCAAAGGCTCAGGAGGGAGTTGGTACCTTGAGACGGTCGCCTGCTTTGGTGTTAGCGTCTGGGCAGTATCTAAGTATTCACAATGATCTGTACGATTTTGTGTGGCGCATCTCGTGGCGACCATATTGTACCGAATTTGTATTATAATAATTTAGCACACTATAAAAACATCTAGTGGTACTGGTTTGTCCCTTCTGATTCACCAGTATTTCCAAATGGCTGCTCAATTATTTGTATATATTTTCCTCATGAAACATCTTCACGCCTTCCTACGGATGATTATGAGCAATCTGTTCTGTTGATTCATCTATCTCCCATTGTCAATATGCTGCTAAAATTTCGTAAAATGGCCATTATTTTTGATGTTCTGTCTTCCTTGTTAGCTTGACTGATAGAATTCAGTCTGCACCGAAGATAGGACCAGACACATTACGCTAGTTACCGACTAGTAGTGTCCAATCAGAAATACCCAATATAATCCTACTGGAAGTCTATCGCGACCTTGAATAGCTTAGTGGTAACGTCTATGACTGCAGCACTGTGTGACACGGGTTCGAATCTCATTAGGGACATGAGTCCCTTCGAGACTGCAGATAAGCCTTGCTGACTGACTGGTGAGTGCCAACTAGCACGAAACCTAAATCAAGCAAGGCTTCGTGTGGCCGATTGCCTCCAACTATCTAATGCCATCAAATCAATGTTCACCGTGATGGCAAGCTACCTAGCATGGTGACCATATTGCAAGGTTGACTGATAGAATTCAGTCTGCATCGAAGAAAGGACTAGGCACATTACACTAGTTACTGACTGACTAGTGTCCAATCAAAAATGTTCTATATTCCTTCCTAACTTCGTTACCCATTCCACCCACTAGCCATAAATAGTTCTTATTATTGAGTGACCAGGCTATTCAAATTGTGTAGGTCATGATTGGCTGACTGCAGCCTATTTGAATAAGTGTCTATCGCACAGATCATATATATGTTCAGAAATCGGATGGTTTGAACTACTGGTTCAACTTGGCTTGATGAGCTCGGCTATGACTAACAATAAAAACTTTAAGGTATTTTTCTTAACTATGGAGACTATGACACCTGATTCCCATTTACATTGATATGATTAGATGGTTGAAGAGAAAATCCACTGGGTTTTTTCTAATATCGTTAGTAACTTCTTTTCTAATTTTTATCCCCTTGCGTCTGGAGTAAAAAGTGGGGCTTTAGTCTTTGAGTTTTGAGGATTCAGTGGTGATTGTGTTGTTTTTTATGGGATTAGATTGCTGGCCTCACGCATCACCTTCCCAACCTTACTGTTCGTTAGGCGACGTTGTTAGAAATGCATCGGCCAAGGATTGAAGCCAGACCACACCACCACCAGCGCACCTGGCTTGTGAGCACACGTTGGAGGTAAATAGCCAACGTTCAGTAGAAAAAAATCAATCATGTTCTGGTATAACACCACGATTTTGTTTTATTGTTACAATATAAAGACAAGCTCATTGTGAAAATATCTCAAACAGTGTCTGTCTTAAAACTACTAGCCCCTTGATAGTTTTGAAGAATGGTTGAAATAGAGGGACAAGTATTTGGCGTTGCATTTTCTTGAAAACATTGCTGAATAACCATTAAATACTGTTACTTCATGCAAATCAAGAAGTCTGCGACCTGAACGGGCTGAATGTATGCAAAATATTAAATCGATTTTTTCACTCAGTCAGTCATAACTGTTCTTATCCCTTCTAGAGTGCTTATCTCTCTTTGCATCCTTTCTGCAGCATTTATCCTTGAGGTTAGGTTTAGTGGGGAAAACGCCTATCCCACATTCAGTTCGACTTAGAACACCAGGCGTGTATGAAAATATGCGCCTGGGAACATCACAGAAAAGTCATACGAAAAAGTTAATTTGTTTGTCATTGCATTGAATTTTTGATTTTCCCGTCGACTGATTGAACCGAAGTGCTCGGTCTCAGGTTGACATGTCGGCTTCTTGTGCAGATGCTTCGACGATGTCTGGGTATTTAATTAGTATACAATTGGTGGATGGTGGCTAGCAATGGAATCCAGGATGCGCGTTTCGTCCTATTTGGGACTCGTCAGCTGGATGTACCTGCATTTCTCAGTGGGAACACCATCACTCACTGAGAAATGTAGGTACGTCCAGCTGACGAGTCCCAAATAGGATGAAATGCGCTTTATCCTGGATTCCACTGCTAGCCACCATCCACCAATTGTATACTAAATTTGTTTGTCTTGAAAAGTGCTGAATATGCGTCTGTATATATGCTATATACTACTAACTGATAGATATGAGTAGTAGTATATCACCTACATGAAGCAGTAGGGCTTCTTAACCAGATCGAGGTGTTCTAAATACTGGACAGTCGTTTTGTTCGCTTGTGGCCGAGCTCATCAGTTGTATACCCAGTTTAATTTGGCTCAGAGTCGAATCAGTTCAAACCATCCGATTTCTGGATATATATATATATATATATATATATATATGTATCACCTTGAAACAGGATGCAATGAAAGAAAGAAAAAAAATGCGGTTACGTAATAACATGTGTAAGCGTAACGTGAGACTTTAAACTCAACTATCCGAAACAGATTTTTCGTGTGCCAGACTAATAGTTACAATGATTGGACACTAGTAACTAGTGTGACGTGTCTAGTTATTTCTTCGATGCAGACTGAATTCTATCAGTCGGGTTTGCAATGTAGCCACCATTCTAGGTACCTCGCCATCACGTGGTGTACATTGATTTGTTGATATTAGATAATCGGAAGCAATCGGCCACACGAAGCCTTAGACCTAGGTTTCGTGCTAGTTGGCACTCATCAGCAAGGCCTATCTGCAATCTTGAAGGAACTCATGTCCCTTCTGAGATTCGAACCCTCGTCACCCAGTGCTGCAGTCATAGACGTTACCACTGAGCTATTTTGGCTCGCGATTGACCTACACCTATCGTGTAAGTCTTTATTGTGCCATCCAGTTGCTTAGGCTGAGGTAGGTCGAGCGGGCCTCGAATCTGTGGCCTGATGGCTGCTGCAAACCGGACTCTTAAGCCAATGCGCCTCATTTCTACAACGTGAGAAAGAGAGAATAGCCACAATGACTTTAATTAGTGTCAGTGTTAAGTATATTTAGTCATTTCGTAAAACCTATATACCACTGTTCACATTGTTACTCTCTTTTTTGTTAGCATGCGGAAGGCTACTGTACAGAAAGATTGGAAGCCGAACGTCAATAGAACACGTTTTTCGAAAGTTTCACAAGAGGTATATGTTGAATGAGAATTCTCTGCTTATAACATTCCAAAATGATTTAGATATTTACATACTGTAACTCCTCCAACTGGTTTGTAGAATGTTCCTGAAGAGGTGTTGAGTTGTTTCGTTTTGAATAACCTTAATACTACCACTTGTTCAATCACTCTCTTATCATGTACATTATTTAAGTTAAGCTACTATATTTTTAATTATTGTGTACTCATGAAGAGTCACATACTAGGACGAAACAGCTGTCAATGTCTCATTGGCTTAAAAACTCGGTTCACTGCCATCGAGCCGTGGGCTCGAGCCCCCCCTTGGCCTACTCCAACCTGGGCAACTGGATAGTATGAGATATACCCTAGCACGATAAGTGTGACTATTTTTTCATCATTTATATACAAACCTGATACAATATGGGCACCAGGAGATTGGTCACACAACTGTAATAAAACAGCAATATTTAGACAAAAGAGGGATAGAATAAATGAGGGACGTCGTCCAGGAAGGAAGTAGGTATATTTGTCAAGGTCAAACAACATTTATCGTATTACTGTCAGAAGGGGAAGAAAAGAAGGGAATTACAGCGTGTTCGCCATTGATTGTGATTTTTAGACGTATGTGATAATATTTCGTGCCGCCGATTCGAACTGTCTTTCGGGACCCAACCTGGTGAGTCATGATATACCAACTGATACTGACCTAACACGAATATCCTTCATCTTACGGCGCTGCTTCATAGCCTGATCACCTCTTCGCTTTTTCCATGCACTCCCAGGGTTGTCGAACAGAGATCGCTACGGAAGCCTCTAGGATGATGTTTGTAGCACTATATCTGAGATAACGCAGCCGGTGTTCCCAGATGACGACATTCAGGGAGTGGTGATCTCAACTGTGTCTAAATACACACTGTCAGAGAATTACTCACATGATGACGCCACTGGATGCAAGCAATTCTACAGAGATAATGTGATAATGGAATACGGAGGGTCACCGCACATCCTTAGTTCGTAGAGGCGAAGTTTCACAGTTGTAGAGCAAGACTGCACTCATCGCAGCGTTGTAAATCAGACGTTTGTTAGCCAGGCTGACGGCACCAGAGGTGACTCAAATTGGCGTAGGTCACTCTAGGTTTGATTGTACGGATGGAGATCTCGTCCGCGTGGCTGTTAGCTAGGTACGTAAGAAATCTGTTCCGGGTAATCGAGTTCAAGCGGTAGCAATACATTACGTTACATTGAATTCATTTCCTGGTGAGTTGTTTGAGTTATCCTTAGGTCAAATACACATTAGTAAAATAGTTAAATAGCTAATTCTGTGGTTTAGTGGTCACATATTCACCAGCAAAATAACATAGTGAGAAAATAAGAATGTTGTTCAAAGCCGTAAAAAGGATGAGTTTTCAACATTTGCATGAGTCTCTTGAATATCTAAGTCAAAAAATATGTTTAGAATACTGTAATTTACAGAACGTGGCTTGTGTACTGGCCAGTTTTTCCCTTGGCTTATAGTTTCACAAACCTCTCGCCTACTACTTGCCCATTCTACTTGGTCAACCTCCCTTATCATCTCTTTTTCTTTTGTACTGTTGGGCTGTGCAATAAATAGCCTGAAATACTCAGTGTTCTTCAGTTGAACCAGCCGACGTTATCACTTCAAACAATTCAGGCTTTATCTAGAAATAAGCAAGTAATTGCATTTATGCATGATGGCTGCTTCTACTGAATGACTGATTGATACGAGCAGCTGAATGCGCCTCTCACATCAACCAGTGGGGGATTGCTAGCTAGCCAGCCGCTCAGTCAGATTATGAAAGTGATCCTAATACCAGGTGGTTGTTTCGTTCGTTATTGTCTTATCGGTCTTGCCTGTTTGTTTTCCCAACTCCTACATTACATAATATATGTACATAATTCTCCGAATAAGCTGAATATGTTAGGAGTTATATGTAGTTTCTTTTTTCATTGGCTAACACCATCGCTTCATACTTTTATGTTTTTTCTTCTTCAAGTGTGTCCAGTTATTGAATTCGTTTGGTGTTCCTTGGGTTCAGAGCCCTGGAGAAGCAGAAGCTATGTGCGCTTTTCTTAATTCAAATAAGGTATTTGTTGTCAAAGTGAACATTTTCTGTTCTTGTTCTATAATTTGCTTCACTAGTGTGTAAATGTTTTGACAAGTGATCATAGTTTTTTTGTGATTATAAGAAATATCTGACTTTCTCTACCTGCGTAGAGGTATGCGTCACAATATAGTGTGTAGAACTTGCATTCTTAAGCTTCCTCTTGACCATAGTCTGTAGGGTTGTCTTGGCTGGGGTTTACTTGGCAACCTGTACCTGTCATTAGAAACTTGTGGTAACGACCCAGGGTGGATAATTTATCTGTATGTATGTTTCTTTGCTTGCACCACCGTGTTCTGGTTGCTGTTATGATGCTAGATCTTTGTCTCGAGGTAACAGCTTAACTACTGACCAGTACCCACTTAACTGGTAAAGCAGAACACGCGATAATCAGCGGTAAAACCAGAATCATTTATTGATGACAAAAGTGACTGTATTTATACAAAAATAAGGTAGACTGGAAATCAACCAATCCGGTTGAGAGTTTGGAATTGTGCAAGCGTCCAATCAGAAAGTAGAAACAAATGCATGTCAACGACATGATAATAACTTGATAATTGCATGTGTTTTGCCTCTTCCTAACAGTTGCCAATCCCTCCAATCCGCTATGCATATATAAAAATTGCTTTCTTCCTTCTTTAGTGAAACCATGGGCGTTGGTGGCACAGTGGTGGAATGCTCGCCAATCACGCATGTGGTCTGGGGTTCGATCTCCTGCCGACGCACTCCTTTATCTCACTAAGCTGGTAGGAAGATTGGAAAAGAGGAAAGGTTGCGCATGAGGCTAACAACTCCATCCCGTACGAATGAACACTACTGCTAACGAAATTTCAAGCCTTTAGCTTGAAGCCCTATGTTTCCCCGGGAACAATAGTGACTAAAAAAATATATCCAAGTGTTGGTTTGTAGGAATTTGATTGATTGGTTACATATGATAGAGAAGATTTGTAGCTCAGGTGGATGATTTTGATGTGGTTTTGTTCTCTGAGCTGGATAGTTAATCACCCAGTAGGGTGATGAAAGCTTCACAAATTAACCATCCAGCACAGAGAACAAAACCACATCAAAATGATTGGTTACAGCATTCCATCATGCTCTGACATTGGTTAGAGAACCATTGGAAAACCTAGGAGTACTGAACAGCTGTTTCCCCTCTTTCTAGTTTGGGACTCTTCAGCGGTGCGCACCCACCTGGGTTCGAACTCAAGTTATGAGGCGAGCTCGTGGACGATTAAGCCACTGGGACCCGATCCAGTGGCCTATGAATTCTAACTTTTGCCAATTCAAATCCCTACAAACCAATCCTTAAATATCGATGAGATGCTCACTGGTGACCGGCCCTATTCAGGTAAGTAGTTACCTGGACTTCTAGTGGGAAGTGATGACGAGTAGGGTGCAGCAGGTCGGTTGTGAAGAAAAATACTCTCTGAAGACATTGGCTAGCGGTCACGCTATGTTGTGAAAAAAATATCGTTAGACATGTGTAGTGCATGCTCAGCCAAATTCTTCCAGACGGCTAATGTTAACTGACTTGACGTTGGTCATATTTTTCAGTTTACACAATTCGAGGTGAGATTTCACTACGGTTGTCTTCGGAGATTGTAACTATTCAGATCACAAGATGTGATCTGCTTAATACCATAAATGCATAAAACTCTATACTATTGCTTGATTGAGATGAGTAGTTGGATACTACTTACATCAACCGGTGATAGCGCTTGGTAGCCAGATCTAAGTGATCTTAATACCGGACTGCCTATTCGCTTGTTTAGAGTCAGAGGTCATCACCGGTGTACCTGATTTAACACGCTTCGGAGTGTCGAATCAGTTCCAAGCACTCGATTTCCGGCTGGTCACTTAATTAAAAGGAAAGGGGGTGGTGAAGTCTCACCTTGAACTGTGTAGATTGCGAATTTGACTTGTGATTTTACGGATTCGCCCAAATAGCTGGTTAGATAGACGATGATCTGAAGTGATTCAGCTATCTGAGCTACGTCAAACCGGATACACCACTGGTGGTGGGCTTAGCCGCCTCCCCCTCCCACCACAATAGACCAAGGGATAATAATAATAATATTAACAGCTTTATTCCAAACGGTATTTGTAGTACAGGTATGGAATTTTCAGCGTGCATTATAATATATTGCATCTAATTAACTCATAAGTTTTATAAGACTTTTAAAATCAAAAATAAATAAATGAAAAAAACGAACGCCAAAAAAATAAAAGATAAATTAAAATTAAAAAAAACAAAAAATACAGCGTAGAGTTTACATTTCAAACAATACACCACAGGATATGAAATATAAAGTTGATGTGTGATAGAGGATGAGAACAACAGTGTAATAGTAACGAAAAAAGGAAGACAAAAACTAATGGGACTATTTGTTAGTGTGCTGCAGTAAGTTTATCGTGTCATACCTAACGGATTCCTCATCACATAACAGCTGTTCCAGATATGGTATTGTGGACTTTTTGTATTTGGTAGTCCTAGCATATAGCCTCCTATAGCTGCTTCTAGTTCTACCAGATGAAATGCAAGGAGACAGCTGCGTATAGAGAGGATGCTAGGGGTTCGACAATATTGTATTCGCTAGTTTCTTACATGACATTATATGTCTATCCACAATAGTGTCAACCAGTTGGTTTAACGATATCCCGCTTGCCCTACTAACGGCTTTTAGTGCCTACCCTTCTCAGCAAAGCAAAGTCTTTCTTAAGTAGTACAGGAAAGATTAATGGGGAGCAGTAAAGAGGGATGGGTAGAATACAAGAATTTACAAACTGAGAAAGCAAAGACTGCTTTATGCCAGACTGCCTAAATTTCCTAATGTAGAACGTTAAGCGAAACATCTTTCTAGTAACTAGCAAGATGTGGGAAGACCAGGAAAGATCGATGGAAAAACTCAGCCCAAGGTACTTGATATTAGATGTATTTTCAATCTCTGTGCCGTCATTGATAGTGGGGCCATGTGAGCTAACTAGTTGCTGTAGGTCACGTTTATGTCTAAAAGTGAAATTGACTACCTGACAATTAGATGGATTAAGCGTAAGTCCGTTTGAAGAGGACCATTGACTAATCTCCGACAGAAAGTTATTTAATTTGGAACAATCTGACTGAGAGTTGACAGGCATAGAAACAGAGAGGTCATCGGCATACTTAACAAAAGTGGCTATATCAGAATGAGGCAAGTCATGTAAGAAAAAGGAAAACAGAAAGGAAGAAAGAACAGCACCTTGAGGAACACCAGCTAAAGTTATCGTTATCTTTTCGGAGGTGGAGACACCGTTTACAGAGTTGGTCAAAATATACCAGCGTAATAATGGAGCAGTAGTATTTGTGTCTTGCTTATTTCCCTACTTATATCATGCTTTCTCTGTCGATTTCAAAGCCTCTCCTTTTCTTCTGTTCTCCACTATGTCGACTCTCAGTCAATGGGTCTATGCTTTAAATTCATCTCCACCTACTTCATTCATGGCAACTGGTTTGTTAGTATCACCGGCCCACACACAATAACTGTGGCGTATAACCTGCGTCGGTGGCGCAGCGGCTAGGATGCTCGGCGACCATGCTTATGGTCCGGGGTTCAATCCCCGGCCACGGACGCAATCCTTCACTTCACTCAGCCAGAAGTAAAGCTGGTGAAGAGGAAAGGTTGGTCATGGGGCTAGCAACCCCATCCTGTAAAATTAAACACTGCTACAGAAATTTCAAGTCACTAGCTTGAAGCCCTATGTTCCACTGGGAACGTGAAGGAAAAAAAAATAACCTGGAATATGAAAAACGTGTTCCGAGAATTGAGTTCACTACTACACTCATCTGTAGCTCTTCTCTATCGGAATTTTACAAATTTATAGATATCTATCTCTAACTGATGTTGATTCATGACGAAATCTAACAGTTGAAATTAAATTAATCCAGATCTCCACACAAATCCCATAATCTAAATATCCAATCTCCGGCTCACAGATTGCTACTGGATGAGGAATGTCCTAAAGTTGTAGTGGGGAAAGTTGTGACCATTTGATCCAACCATGCCAAGAGGAAGTGGATGCCTATCAAGGGCGCATTGGTGAGTCTACTGCCGTATCAGAAGTTGACTAAGTTGGAATTCAATGGGTCATTGATTTCCAGCCCAAGTGTGACTGAATGGTCAAAGATCTTGTGTGCGTAACCTGAAGGTCCCAGGTTCGATTCCTGGTGGTGTTGTGGGTACTGTCCAGCCCCCTCCTTGACTTTCAATAATTTCCCCAACCAATGTTGGTTTGTGACGAAATTTAACAATTGAAGATCAACACACCGCCTACAAATTCTCGTCAGTAGCAGACTCCATACTAGTAATTTAGTATTGTTGGTTTTCAGGGATTTAATTGGTTTCATGAGTTCATTACGAGCTGACATCGGTTAGAGAACCACTGGAAAACTAACTGGGAGTACTGAACAGACAGCTGTTTCGTCTATCTAGTTTGGGACTTCGCTTCATCGGTACGTACGCACCGGGGTTCGAACCCAGGCCCTTCCATTTACAAGGCGAGCTCGTAAACCGTTAAGCCACTAGGACTCAATCCAATGAACAGTGCATAAGCTCCAACTTCTGCCAGTTGACTATATAGCGTGACTGGTCTTAGCCAATGTCATCAGTGGCGAGTATTTGTCCTCATACCCCTGACGTACTCTACCCGACTGATCACGACTTCTTAATAGAATCCAGGTGACTGCCTACCTGAATAGGATTAGTGAGCATCATATTGATATTCAAGTATTGGCTTGTAGGGATTATTATTCTTATTATTATTACAGTTATACGTCTGGTGCAACATATGTAACCTACAATGCATGTTTTAATAGCTGTGATAATATCAGTAAAAAAATGTATTCCTTAGACAAATATTGTTCTTTGTTTGTACTCTAGCTTGTAGACGCTTGCATCACTAATGATGGCGATGCTTTCCTCTATGGCGCTGAAACAGTTTATCGTCATTTCTCCATGGATAGTCGGGTAGGTCATTAGATGCGATGTGATCATAGAAATCCTTCTATTTTGTATTTCAGTATTTTTCAGTTTATATTATTGTGTTATAATAGTGGATGATCATAGTACGGATCGTCCGACGATGTTTCTGAAGATTGATGTGATGTCCTTTATGTCTGTGAGACATGGCCATTGAGAGTGGAAGACATGAAAAGATGAGCTGTCTTTGATCATAGGTGCCTGCGCTCTATCTCCTGTGTGAAGTGGTATAATAAGGTGAGCAATTGATGAAAACAATGAGTGAGTAATAGAGAGGTTTCGCGTGCGTTTCGGATTGTGAGGGCGATTGTCACTTCCCGGCTGCCCACACCGTGGAAGTTGGTTGCGTGACCGCAGAGCCCAGGGGACAACTGCTTGAGGCCGGTCACACGCGGCCTGTTTTTGTTCGTTCTTTTTTGTTTGGTGTGCCTCAGTAGCATACTTATCACTCCTGCCCTGTGACACGGCAGCAGGAAGCGCCGTCGTTGTTAATCCGGGCCACGGCCGATCCGGCATGAAATTTTGTGATTTTGTATTTATCATGATGTTGGATTGGGTAGCTGCTTTTTGTTTAACCGCTATCCAAACAACCTGCCTGGCATGGTAGGACCTCAAGAGACATAATTCTCATCCAGTATAGCTTGAATAGATCATTGCGGTGTTCAAGCCCGACCACCACGTCAAGGCAGCAGCTTTCGGTCGGTCAAACAAAAACTTGGCACCAGTCAATGAAATCCACAACAGTTGGTCTAAGCCACGTAGGAAGGTGTAGACTTCCAGGCTGGGGTCCTCGGGACGGTAAAAATCTATGGTTGGAAACAATTGGGACATGGCTCAAAATCGTTCTCAATGGCCAGATGCATCCATCCTTGTGACTTATGATCTCAATGAAACTGTTTTGTTCTTCGTTATTACTCCTCCTTTGTCTCACGCCTCTGCACTGTCTCTATTATGCATTTCTTCTACTTTCTTGTCTTACTTTCTGTGCCACAAGGAGTGGAGTGTGACGACTTGAACTGCTGCTGTTTGGGAGTCGTCACAGGATGTCCTATGAGTAATGGTGTCCCCACTAAGACTCGAACCCAGCGTCCATCATTTCAAACGCCAGAGTATTATCCGAAGACCAATTTAATTAGTAAGCGGAAGTCCAAACTGACTAAAGACAAAATTGAACTGATACCTGTTGTACAAAATGTGGCTCTGTTGTAACGACGAAAACCGACGCATTGTCGCCTTGGATGGATTCTTAACCGTGTAGTGATGGGAGAGTACTCTGAAGAGTCTCAAACAAGGACGAAATAGCTTCCCATACACTGGTTTCGGTGGTTTTGCTAACTGGAGTCAGTTTGTGATCAGGCTTGAAATCAAACAAATCTCTGCAAACCAACACTGAAAGTACTGCCTCTGACAGACTGACGGGCTGGTTTCAACGTAGAACTTTGCACCGATGTGCAGCAGTTCGAGTCGTCACACTCCATGTAGCACACAAAGCAAGAGAAGAAAGTAGAAGAAATGCAAAATAGAGACAGTAGATACAGATATGAGGCAAAAGGAATAGTAATTACGAAGAACATATAGTTTCATTGGAAATCATAAGTCTCAAGAAGTGGATGCATCTGCGCCAGCCATTGAGAACAACGATTTTTAGCCAGCCATATCACCGATTGTCTCCAGCCTTCATTGGTTTTTACCGTCCTGAGGACCCCAACCAGTCAGGAAGTCTACACCTTCCTACGTGGCTTAAACTAACTGTTGTGGATTTCATTGACTGATGAGGCCATGTTTTGGTTTGACCTCCGGTAGCTCTTTTCCAGCCTGACCCTATGTCAGCTAACATTGCCCATTGTCGAGGAAAGCGATGACTAGGCCTACGTAATACATGTCTTAACCATCTCAGTCGATGTAACATCACAGTCTCGTCGATTGATTTCCTCTCCTTACCTAGCACTCAACGCCTAACCTCAATATATATTGAAGTGGCATAATAATACCACTTCAAACGGGAGATAGAGAGCAGGCACCTATGATCGAAGACAGCTAATCTTTTCATGTCTTCCACTTTCAATGGTCAGGTCTCGCTCACAGCCATAAAGGAGGACGGAGCGGACTGATGAGCAGTACACCCGCCCTTTGGTCGATAGCCAGCTGGATATCACGTCTACGCCAGAGACGGGGTAAACTGGCATATGCGAAACTAACCTTCTGTATCGGAGCTGACACTTCGTCAACGGCTAACTCGTTGGCGCTGTGGCTGTGCGTCGGTGGCACAGTGGTTAGGACTCTCGCCGACCATGCACATGGTCCGAGGTTCGAGCCCCCGCCGACGGATACCTGATATCTATGGTCGGCCTGCGAAATTTGGGCTACCGATATCCATGCTGAAAATTCCATACTTGTGCCAAAAATACAGTGGAATCAAGCTGTAAATAAAAAAAAGTAACTTCCCAAATAATTGAAGCGGTCAACGTGCTCCACCACTTCACTCCCTATTTCTAAGCTAGGGGTCAGTGTAGTCGAGTCCTGTAGCAATCATAATCTTACATTTGACGGGAGCAAATCGCATGCCAAACATTCGAATACTGTAGCTCAATGTGTTCAGAAGACTCTACATTTTGTCAACGTCTTCACCTAGAAGGACTACACCACCTGCATACTCTAAGTCAAGGAGATTATTCCCTGGTTGTAACAAGTCAATCCCTGAGTCGCTGAAGTCAGTCAGGGTTATATCCATTGGTACATCTATGATGAAATTAAATGGAAGTGGGGATATTGGGTATCCCTGTCGGACACCACTAGTTGTCACCACCTCAGATGACAACTCACCAGAAGCTCTTACCTGACTGGCTTCATGATTTCGAATAAAGTGCCTTGATCAGTTGGGATCACTTGATCATTGCCTCACAGTTGTCCACATACTTAAATAATTTTATAAAGGATATTTCGAATTACTTTACTTCTTGATGATGACATATGTACGTGCAGTAAACGATTCTAATTATCTTTTTTGTGCTTTATATCTCCCCCGTCTTCCAGGATTCCAGTGTTCGCGTCTATCATATGCAGTCGATTCATAAAGTATTGAATTTAACAAGATCTGATTTAGTATTATTAAGTCTTTTATTAGGCTGTGATTATTGGCCTACCGGTGTGTCACGTCTTGGTCCAGTTGGAGCATTGCGTTTGATCGCTTCGCTTAAATCAGAAGTTCTGAATGTCAATGAACAATTTCTGCTGAAATTTTTATCCTGGCTTATAAATAATTGTCCAAAAAGTAGTTGTGAAGACTTTTTGTGCAATCCTTTTGGTCTTCATATGAATCCCAGTGTTATAAAATTGTGGTTACATGTTGGTGTTGAACTGAAAGATTGCCCATATAAAGAAGTGAGTCACTACACTTAGCAGAAATATTGTCATATTGGTTTATTATTATTATTATATCCTTTAATTCCTAGAGGAACATAGGGCTTCAGCCGCCCATCTCCATTGCCTTCGGTTTTCTGCCAACTTTTTCACCCGGTTCTAAGTCTGCCCACATGCTTTCATCTCCTCCTCACATAACCTCCTCCAAGTCACCCTCACACTGACGACCAACTCGCCGCTTCCCTTTCGGGTTTCACTCGAGCAATGGCTTGTCTAGTGATATCACTTGATGGTTTCCTCAGTGTATGGCCAATCCATCTCCATTTCTTTCCGACTATTTGTTTCACAATCGGTTCCTGGTTGGTTGGCTCATTGTCAAAGATCCCTGTTGCTGATCTTTTCTGGCCATCTGATTTTGAGTATTGAGCGAAGACAACTGTTAATGAAGGTTTGAAGTTTGTTGAAGGTGCTCTTTATGTCTCGCCAAGTCTTTGATCCGTATAGTAGCACTGACTTCACACTGAAGTTGAAAATCCGGATCTTATTTTTGATGCTGAGTGCTGTTGACCTCCACACAGACTTGACAGTAATGAAAGCTTGTCTTGCTTTTCCGATTCTGGCTTTGATATCCTCGTCAGTTCCGTGCGGCTGTAGTTGAAACGATGCTTTCCAGGTAGGTAAAGGAGGTTGTTTCTTTTAGGTTCCTCCCATTTATGCTGATTGTTGTCTGTTGTTGTTGTTGGTGGTGTTGGCCAGGAATCTTCATCACCTCTGTTTTCCCTTTGTTCACCTGAAGTCCTATCTCTGATGCTTCTTCTGCCAGCTTGCTGCTTTTCACTTGCATATCTTCCAGTTTGTGGGAAATCAGACATATCATCATCGGGGAAGTCCAGATCCTCCAAGTTTTTTGTGTGAGTCCATATTGGTTTATATAATGGTTTAAGTGAAGAAAACGGGTTTTATCATAGGTTTATGTTGAAGTGTCAACTCAATTTACTTGAACAGAACTGTTGTGTTCCAGGCTATGTGCCGCAGTTGTATGAAGCTTGAATTAGGGGCAACCGGATTCAAACTCTGGACCCACTGACTGAAAGTCAAATGTTTTAACCAATCAACCACGTCTCCACTATCATTGTCCATCCTGTAAGTAATTTAATAAGTTTACTGACCACTGTTTTATCGAGTAAGACAAAGTCAATAACCAACCAATGAGGTTCTGAATAACCGTCATAGCCTACATGTATTCTGATAACACATCACATTGTGAATATTGGAAAAACCAGCGAGTACTAGACAGCTGTTTCGTCCTAGCACCGTAACTCCTCAGAAGAACTCACTCACTGGGATTCGAACCCCCAGAGCCTTCTGGTAGCGAGGTCTACAAATTCTCCTTGTAACCACAGGGTTCTGAGTCTGAACCCTAGTGGGTGCGCAGTGATGAAGAGTCCCAAACTAGGACGAAACCATTATCCAGTACTTCATGGTTTTCTAATTGATGTCAACTCTTGATCAAACCTGTAAGCAATTAAATCGCTGTTAACCAACACTTGAATATTGTGAACATCTCAAGTGATGTGAGACTAGGAACTAAGAGTTCGCAAGGCGAATACATAATTGAGACAAGTGTTTCTATCTTATAACAGAGTTGAAACTTAATAGAGAATATAATTTAATCAAGTAAAGGTGTTGGATATGTAAATATTTACAGTGTATTTGTAAATTCTTTTGGCATTTAGCCATAGGAATTGGAAGACCTAAGGCGGCTAGCTACCTTTTGACCGCAGATGCTTACGTTCTGGACATCCTGTGTGAAATGATACAATGTTGTGGTGAGTAATATCCGATGTCAGTCGCTCTAAAATCGTTGGTTAATAGGAGTTAGAACTGACAGGCCGTCAGATTCCATCCCAGTGCCTGAATAGTCAACGAAATCGCCTCGCGTAACCTTAACGTCCTGAGTTCGATCCGTGGTGATGGGTGCGTACACTACTGTCCAGTACTCCCTGACTTTCAATGGTTCTCTAACTGTAATCAATCCATGATATAAACTAAAAACAAACCAGCTCTTGAAAATAATCATTAATGGAAAACTGAAGTAGAATTTTATGGTGTTGATATGGTTTCATTTTAAGTGTTAATTTTAGTTGTATCTTATGGACTCATGTACCTCATGTACCCAACATGAATTTCTTCAACCTATCATAGCAGTATTCAAATGTTGCTTTGCAGGAATTTAATTGGTTTCGGAATTTCATTATGAGCTGACATCGGTTACAGAACCATTGGAAAACCAACTGAGAATACTGGACAGCTACCTGTTTCGTCCTAGTTTGCGACGTACCCACTGGGCTTTGTGAACCCAAGCCCATCCGGATACAAGGCGAGCTCGTAGACCGTTAAGACACTAGGACCCGCTCCGGTCTCCAGTGCATGAATTCCAACTTCTGCAACTTGATGATATAGTGCGTCTGGCGTTAGCCAGTGTCATCGGTGCGGAGTATTTATCTTCAAACCCGACCTGCTTTACCACACTGTTCACGAATTTCCACTAGGAGCCATGTACCTGTCAATCTGAATAGAGCGAATCGCTAGTGAGTATCAGATCATAATACTAAAGTGTAGTTAATTAGACCTTTCAATGTATGGATTATTATCATCAACTAAGCCTATTAAATGTGTGTAATGCTTTAATTATATAATTGTTTGTCTAGCGAATATTAATTCCTTTTTTCTCTATTCAAAATAATTTTTAGATATTTGCAGAATTTCTAACCAACTTTGAAGAACGTCGTTGGACTTTGCCTAAACGTGAATCAATCTGTCAATGGAAACGACCAGACCCAAGAAGAATTGTACCTTTCTGTCAGGTGCATTTAAACTGGGATCCAGTGTATACCCTTCAACATTTCTTGCCTATCATGGCTTTATGGGATTTGAGACATCCTCAAGTTTATAAGTCACCATCACTGATAAACTCACTGATAGATTATCAGATTGATGATTCTATTATTTTACAACCATTAAGGTATAGTTAAAAAGTCCTATTTTTGCCTCTCTTTTTTTATTACCCTTCGTTCTCCTTAATGACTGTGAGACATGGCCATTGAGAGTGGAAGACATGAAGAGACCAGCCAGCTCTGTCTTTGATCACTGGTGTCTGCGTTCTATCCCCCGTGTTAGGTGACATAATGGGGTGAGCAGTATTGAAGCTACATTGATTGAGATGAATAGGAAATTTGTTACGCATGCCCAGCCATCTATCGTCTTCCTCAAGGGTCAATGTTAGCTGACATAAGATAAGATTGTAAAAGAGCCCTCGGAGGTCAAACCAATGAAAACTATTACCGCTAGTGTAAACCGGGCACATCAGGAGGTGTGGAATTCCTCGCTGTGGTCCTCGGGATGGTAAAAGTCACTGAAGGCTGAAGACAGCTGGTGATATGACTCAAAATGGTTGTTCTCAATAGCTGGCTCAGATGCATTCATTCTTTGTGATTTGTCATGTCCAACAAAATATTTATGTTCTTCCATATTACTATTCACTTTCCCTCACACTTCTGTTTATTATGTCTCTTTTGAATCTTTCTTTGCTCTCTTTTCTTTCTTTTGTGGAAACTGTAACTGGTGCACATCTGTGCAAAGTTCTGTGTTAAAACCAGTAAGTCGGTCATTCAATGTTGTTTTTTTTACATTGTATTTAATTTCCTGGAAAGTTAACTCAAAACTTCAGACGTCCTTTTGCTGAATACAATCGACTACATTAAATGTTTGTTAACAGCTATAGTAATAGTATTTGGGTGCGACAGTAATTCATTGGTAGGAATACTCGCCGGTCACATGGTAGATCCAGACTCCTAAATCTAGCCGGGTATTATGCTCTGAAAAGAGGGAAGGGTAGGTGTGGGTGTAGTAACTCCACCTGGTAAAGGAAAATGATACTCCCGCTTCAGAAACTTTTAGTTTGAAGTTAATTGGTGGATGGTGACTAGCAGTAGAATCGAGGATGCGCATTTCTTCCCATTTGAGACTCGTCAGCTGGGTGTGCTTGCATTCCCCAGTGAGTGATGATGTTCACACCACAGAGTCTCGAACCTAGTGCATATGGTTCCAGACGCCAAAGCGTTATCCACTAGACTATTTGGGCCAAGAGAGCTGGCCACCTCTTGTGCAGCGGGTCATATTAATTATTTAATTCAGTCAATCGACAGGAAAGTCTAAAATTGAATTAAATAATTAATATGACATGTTGCACAAGAGGTGGCTCTCTTGTAGCGCAAGTGGTCTAGTGGATAACGCTTTGGCGTTTGAAACTATGGGCACTGGGTTCGAGCTTCGGTGAGAACATCATCACTCACTGCGGAATGCAGGCACATCCAACTGATAAGCCCCGAATAGGACGAAATGCGCATCCTGGATTCCACTCCTAGTTACCATCCACCAATTAACTTCTAATTACATGCCCAGACATCGTCGAAGCATCTGCACAAGAAGCCAACAGACATGTCAACCTGAGACCGAGCACTTCGGTCCAATCAATCGACGAAAAAATCTAAAATTGAATTAAATAATTCTAGCTTGAAGCCGTAAGATTCATGCAAAGGAATGAAAAATAGATTATAACATGCACGACCTACTCCTCACCTCCATTCAGGAACTGTTACAGTGAGCGTTGTTCCTGCTGAAGATAGAACTCATTACTTGTCGTCCCAACACATCATGACGTCATACAATGGGTTACTAATTTGTTATGATAGTCACATCATATTAAGTGGACATTGTTTCTTTGTTGGGTATTCGAATCCCATCGAATATGGAATCAAGTTCTGAATACAGGCAGTATTGAGATGTATGCGCAGTAGTTGGTGACACACCACTGGTCACTTTAGTCTGTGGATTTTGTTCAACAACAGGACAGATAAGAATATTTCACAGGAGGTCTACGCTTTGAATGAATACACTTAGAAGTTGGTGTACTTATATATATGTTCTTATATTAGTTAAAGATTTGTTTTCACCATGAACGAAAATGGCTTTGCTCATGAAAGTTCACTAGGCAGGAATTTCATTTTATCCGCAGTGTGACAACATTTAGCTTTTATTCCGCATTTGACGTTTCCGTGATTACTGTCCACTAGTTGCTGATCATATAAGATATAATTGCCACTGTTTAACACAAAGCCATGTGGAAACAGCTGTCCGGTACTCTGTACTGGTTTTCATTGCTTCTCTGATATAACTGATATAACTTGAGACCAATCAAATACCTGAAAACTAACAAGTGAAAATAAATCTCACGCTTTTTTAGTGAATGACTCTCTGAAGTTCTAGTGAGACCAGCGTGTGGTTCAGTAAGTTGCGTGTTTGCGCAAAGATTCGATGATGGCACTAGCTGGCGGTTGTGGTACATGTCACGAAATGGTAGGAGGAGTTAAAATCCACCGTCCCGTTGGATTTCGTTTCAATATATCTGAAAGCTCACTGGGCAGGCTTCGTATCCTGAAGCTCTTGGGGTTTTCGATCTCTAGCTATATGGTCTTGGAAAAGGTGTCGCTCTGAGGCGTCCAAAACCAGGACAAAACAGCTGTTCACAGCATCCTGGCTATCACTGATTTTCTAAATAGTGTCAGTTCGCCCCGCATAATTGGAGAAGATTTGTCGCTGAGATTGGCTTTTATAAACTATCCTGACCGGAAGAATGTTCACCGAAAATCAAACTGCCTTAAGTTTTTGTTTGTATGTTATAGATGTGTACAAAAATCACAATACAACTTCTGAATGACTGACTGATTTCAACATACAACTTTGCATCGATTTACAGCAATTTGAGTTTTTTTTATAACCTTCACGTTCCCAGTGGAACATAGGGCCTCATGTTAGTGGCTTGAAGTTTCTGTAGCAGTATTTAATTTTACAAGATGGGGTTGCTAGCCTCATGACCAACTTTTCCTCTTTACCAGCATTATTTCTGGCGTAGCAAGATGAAGGAGTGCGTCTGTGGCCGGGGATCGAACCCCGGACCATGTGCATGGTCGGCGAGCATCCTAACCGCTGTTCCACCGATGCCAGCAATTCGAGTTACCATACTACAATACCACTTCAATAATTGCTCTCCATTGAATTGTCTCTTTTTTGATATAAGAATAAAACTTGGGCACTGTGGTAGATAGAGTATAACTCCATTATGGATAAAATTTTATTTTGATAAAATCACACAGTGTTATACTGTAATATTTACTGATGACCACGTTTCGAGCACAATTTACTGCTGCTCATAACCATATCAAGGTACTCACACCACCCACTTTCTTGCTTCACTTACATGCCTGAGTAAAACTTGAACAGGCATTTGAATAAAATCACCATGAGATAAAGTACAGTGGGAAATAATATTAGTATTATGAATGAAATACAACCAGATGGGAAATAAGATGTTTTTATAGTAAGAATAAGTAACTTGGTTTTAATGTTATAATGTGAATTGAATACATTTTAACATTATTTATTATCCTCTGATTTGACAGACTGGTGGTAATAATATCTCCCATATCTCTGGTATTTGCATTGAGTCACCTCTATTGCATGTGCTGGGTGTAGACTCGATGAACCAGGATGCAGTAATCAACCACCTCTTCCTCCACATACCTATAGTACTTTTTAGAATGTTGACTGTGTCCCACCCAGCCTGTTGTGTGATTGTGTGTTAATGCGTGCGTTGCGATTGCTAATTTTTTTTCTAAATTATTTATCTTTGTGGGATCAATCATTCTAACATTAGCTAAATTCTAATGTTCTGATAATCTCACAACTCCTGATCTGCTAGTTTGACCTATATAGAGTTGACTTAACTCACAATCATTGCAAAATATTTTGTAAATTATATTATTTTGTTTAATTACGTCAACCGACAAACTCCTTTAACCTACATAGCTTGTCCCACCTGAGTGAGTTTGTAGGTTTACATGCCACCCGAATCCCTGCTTTATTACGAATCCTACGTAAGGGGGGGCTGCAGATGTCCCCTCATTATGTATGGTAAAACTGCAGATGGCGTATATTCTTTCTTGTTTATGTTATCATTATTGTTAGTTTCACCATTATTTTTATTTTGCTTTTTGACCTCTTCTCTTTTTTGCTTTCTTATAGGATAGTAAAGAAACGCGTAGTCAATTATGTTGAGTCATTCGAGGTTGAATGGAAAAGATTAGGTAACTTGGCATTTTAAAAGCTATCTCAATTTTCTGTGGAAAGTCTGTGTTTTGCATAACTGTAATTCCTGTGAAGTCAGGAGGTGACACCTCTAGACACTTGTGTGTGTGTATGTGTGCGTGTGACACCTTGTCGTTTCTTGATGTGGTGTTCACATCACTTGACAACAGTCAACAGTCCTCTGACTTTCACTCTGCATAAGTAACAGTTCCAGTCTGCCCCCGGTCGATAGCTGCTACCTCGCCAAATCGACTGGACTTTCGTATCACAATAACCCAATCAGCTATACTACGAGGAACTAATGTTTCTGCAGGTCCTACCATACCACAAAATTAGATACTGTCATAATGTAGCTTGTTTACACTATGTTTGAGGAGTCTGTGGGAGAAATCTTCCTGCTGACGAATAGAGATACACCAACAGTAGTTCCCCTTGGACGACCAGCGATCCAGTTATGCAGCCTTTCCATTTTGCAGAGGAGAGTTTAAAGAGATTCAAGAAGTAATCACCTTGCATGGTGTGGGGTGCTGGGAAGTAAAAACCGCTTATACACTTCCATAAGCTCACACAACTGTTTTACTGACCATCACAGAACTGCATATACATTCCATTAAAAATAATTCAAGGTAAAGGGAAGTTTTTTCTTATTCCTTCACGTTCACAGTGGAACATAGGCCTTCAAGCTAGAGGCCTGAAGTCTCAGTAGCATTGGTGGCTGTTTATACAGCGGGAGGGGGGGCGGGAATTGCTCGCCTCATACTGAGCCTCCCCTCTTCACCGGTTTCATTACCGGCTTAGTGAGGTAAAGAAGTGCGTCGGCCAAGGATCGAACCCGCGAACCACCTGTGTGGTTGGTGAGCATTCCACGAGAAATATATTGAGTCTATTTATTTTCTCACTGTGTATGTAACTGTTGCATCCCTCATTTTATTTAATTTTTTTTTAGCATTCGACAAATGGACAGGTCAAAGCGAGCTAAATTCACTGAATGAAAATGGTCAAAAAGACAATATTTTCAAAAATGGCTATTATTATTATTTTTCTGTTCCACAAGTAGAATTCTGTAAAGTTCATAATGACTTGTACTCAACATTTATTGAAAACGGTATTCAGAAACAATCTCAGTCAAAGAAGCAAAAGCAGAAGAAGACGAAGACGACGGCGAAGAAGTCTAGTAACAGTGAGAAAGGTCAACAACTTCCAATTGATGAATTATTTAAAGGATTGTCTATTTCATCTAACCAGTTAAATAAGAATGAATCTGATGTAGTGTATAAGGCGTCTAGTGTGCAAACTTTACCCACTAAAGCCAATCCCTATCCACTATGGGATTCAGATACGTCTAGCCTTGTCGATGATGATCATGATGACGATGGTGATGGTGAAAGTGAATACATGTGAGTCTCAAATTGCTTTCTTTGTATATCTTTAAATGTTCCCATTATTATAATGTTAGAACAAGACATATAAGCGAACAATATTGTTGTTTTCAATTAGATCTTCTTCAGACTTTACTCTAATTTACATAGATTTATATATAAATATTTTAACCAATGACGGTGATTTTGTGGATCAAATAATTGTAATAATAATGTGGTAAATGTTTTGAGCGTAGTTAATAACGATGATTACAGTGGTAACAAAATAGTGATAATAAGGTTTATGCAAGTGGCGATAAGAATAACAAACGTAGTAATATGTGTGTGGATAAAAATAGTGCCTTCAAAGTTATCTATCGCATTCCATCGAGCCTTTCGAACCCGTCTTTTACACATAGCTGAAGCGATGGGAATTAATTCGAGAGAACAGTCCTAGTCTTCGCATACAAAAGAAGTTTGTTCTACCTTTGGTTTTCCTTTGGCCTAGGTGAATTCTTGTTAAAATCCGTACACCCATCCTTATTTTTTTTTGATTATAGCTTGATTCCACGCCGTATTTTTGATACAAGTATGAAATTTTCAGCATGTGATATTGGTAGCCCAAAATTTGCAGGTCGACCATAGATATCAGGTGTGCGTCGGCAAGGGATCTAACCCCGGACCATTTGCATGGGGTCGGCGAGAGTCCTAACCGCTGTGCCACCGACGCATTTCCATTTCCTTCGTACTTTTATGATATTTATTTAAACTCTGCTTATCTGTCCACCTCACCTTTAGTATTACGTAACATTTAAGATTTGACCTAATTTATTTATTTATTTATTGAACTGTCTACATATACACATGTTACTACTACCTTTGCGATTCTTATCGGCACCTGCATAAACCTTATTATCAATATTTTGTTATCACTGTAATCAGCGTTATTAACTACGTTCAAAACATTTACCACATTATTATCACCATCAGCAGTTAAAATTTTTTATACATAAATCTATGTAGATCGAAGTAAAGCCTGAATAAGATCTAATTGAAAACAACGGCATTGTTCGCCTATATCTCTTGTTCTTTGTATATGTGTGTGTTTAGAATTCCAGTGAAGATCATTCCAGTTTGATGCAAAAAATGTCAAATTAACACTTACCAGAAATACGGACAACAGTGTATTAATGACTGAAAAAACCAAAAGGGGATGTCAACTTATTGTCACCCTCTAAGTTACTAGCTTCATAGCTAACACTTTTCGCATAACATAAAATACGCGCCAAATAAGTTATCTTAGAGCTTTTATACTTAGTTGTCCGAGTATATAGTCTCTTTCACAATTGCTTGTAGTGTTACCTGATGAAATGCAAGCAATTGGGGGAGGGAGAAGGATGCCTGACAGGAAGATATTCACCAATTTCTTGCTTGATTTCAAGTGTCTGTCTACAATAGCATTAACAAGTTGGTGTATTGGTACCCCATTTGCCATACCGACAGATTTTAGTACCCTTTGCAGTGTAACAAAGTCTTTGTTAATTATCTCAGGAAAGCCTAGGAGGTAGTAATTTACAAGAATAGGTAGAATACGAGAATTAAGAAACTCTAAAAGCAGAGACAGATTGTCTTAGCTTCCTTACGTGGACATAATGTAGGAAGTCCATGAACAATCAAAGGAAAAAACATAATCTGAGGTAGATTACCTATAAAGAGGGAGTGGAGATATCCTGAACCCAATTAAAATTTCGATTTTACACTTGTTATTACTTTAATTAATTAATTAATTAGTTAATTAATTAATCTAGAGAACGTGCATTCATCGAATTAACACCAAACAAGTCCAGCCGAATTGACGCAACTGCGATAAATAACAGGGGGGAGTGAAACTATGTAAGGCAAATCATAAAATTGTGTGAATACATGCTTACGGACAGTAAATTGTGCTTTTAAATGTCATCCAGTTATCAATATTGTATTACTCTATTTTTTTATCAAATAAACTTGTCTTACATGGAATTGTATTTCATCATAGTGCCCAAACTCTACACTTACATAAAGTACGCTGATACCTCATTTTGCCATGAATAAATTGTGCTAGAATCATCATTATTAAATCTGTCTGTCTGTTTTGAACATGGAACTTTGCGTCGATGTGCACCAGTTCAAGTCGCCACATTCCATGCAGCACACAAATCAAGAGAAGAGAGTAAAAAGAAATGCAAAATAGAGGCAATAGACAGGGATATGAGACAAGAGGAGTAGTAATAACGAAGAACAATATGGTTTCACTGGGAGGTATAAGTCACAAAGAGTGGATGCATCTGCCATTGAGAACAATTTTGAGCCATATCACCGATTGCCTCCTATCATTGGTTTTCACTGTCCCGAGGACCTCACCCAAGAAGTCTACACATTTCCTACGTGACTAGCTGGCTGGCTTAAACTAACTGTTGTGGATTTCACTGACTGATAAAGCCATGTTTTGGTTTGACCACCACTAGCCAACTCTTTTCCAGCCTGATCCTATGTCAGTTAGCATTACCCGTTGAGGAAGGCGATGGATGACTAAGCATGCGCAACACATGTCCTAATGACCTCACTCAATCGGTGCAACTCCACAACCTTGTCTATTGATTTCCCCTCCTTACCCAGCATTCGACCAATCCCTAACCTCAAAATTCGTCACCCTATTATTCCACTTATCACGGGAGATAGAACGCGGACACTTATGGTCAAAGACAGATAGACAGATCTTTCATGTCTTCCACTCCCAATGGTTATGTCTCACAGCCACAAAGGAGGACAGAGTGAACTGCTGAGCTGTACAGACGCCCTTTTGTTGACAGCCAGCCGGCTTTCACGTCTACTAAATTGGAGATGGCGTAAGTTGGTATGTGCCAAAAGAGCCTTCTGAATCGGTGCTGAGATTTCGTCAGCGATTAATCTGATGGCACTGGTTGATGCGACTCCTCAAATTAGTGAAGTGTTCAGCACGCTCAACTAACCATTTCACTTCCGCGTGCCTTTAAGCTAGGAGTCGATGTAGTCCAGTCCTGTAGCCTGATCATCTTACATTTGACAGGAATGGGTGAATTGCGTGTCATACATTCAAAGATTGCTGCTTCTCAAAGTATTCAAAATACTCTGCATTTTGTCACTGTCTTCACCTAGGTTGGAGGACTATACCATCTGAGTATTCTTAGTCAACGAGATTATTCCCTGATGGTAACTGATATGTATCCACATATATATATGTATGTGTGTGTGTATGTTGGTCTCTCTTTCTGTTTGCTCGCTTAGTCTGTGACCATTTCACTTGTGTGAACTTGTCTCCTTTAATAATGTGTATTCTCCTTATATTATATTATATATAATATGAGTGTTTGTTGACAGTCCGTTGCTTGGTGACATATATCCATATTATATGTGGGGATGTTGACATGTCTGCTGTATTCGCTATGTATATTTGGATCGACACTCCATTATAATTAGCCATCCATGTTAAGACTGTCTAATGATTTATTCCCACGCTTTGTCTGGAACATTCATATATATTTCGCATTCACAATTTGTGTGACTACTTTACTTACTTACCACTTTGGTGTGAGACCATTTATTTTCGTCTCCTTGTGTTTGGACAATAGAAGTATCATCGCAAACCTAGTGGTCTTCTGATTTCCGCCTTCTCGCGTCAGGACTATTAGTTTCTCGACCAGTCCATAACAATAATTTAGCGACGAGTACATAACAATTTGGCGACGGGGAAAACTACTATTAACCACTCAGCAGCAGCAACATAACAATTTACTATGGATTATTCTAAATTGGAATTATTGTTTGAACAACAAATGAAATTAATGGAAATGTTCATTAACAAACAGACTGGTCCAACTTCACCTTCAAGCAATCCGAATCATACCATGCTACTGTGGTGAGAGCAGGCTGCTAGCCGATTGGTTGGCACTAATCTACGTTAATGTCTAGGTCACTAATATTGACCGTGAACAAGGCTGTTTCAACAACCAATCACAGCAAACCTAAATGTGGACAAATATGATTCGCAGATAGATGGCTCTACTTTCCGAGAAATATCGAACACAACCAATCATAAGACTGTGTTTGTCTGCTTAACTTCCGAGAAACAACCAATCAGAAGACTGCCTTTTTCTGCTTGCATAAGCCTTATTAATGCATATAAAATATATATAAATACGTGTTGATTTTCGTAATAAAACGATCTGTTGCCAGCCCTTGTCTTCTGTTGTTACATTTGGTGTCGCTGCCTCCAAAAGATGAAGATCCCGTGGCCAGCTGCGTTTGAAGAAGGTGACATACGGAGCTTCTTACGTGACTTCGAGCCGTTGCTGAGCTGGTGGGTGTCAAGGAGCAGGCGGCGAAGGCAGTTGTCCTGGGGACGCTGTTGAGAGGCCGAGCGAAGGCTGCATATGACAGCGTAGACAGGTCAAATGGCACAGCGTCTTGGAAGAAATTGGTTGAACGACTAGTGTCCGAGTTTGACAGCGAAACAGACAGACAGCTAGCAATGCAGCAGTTCCGGTCAATGAAGCTTGGACCTGATGGAGACCCGCTAGTGTTGGCGGTGAAACTGACTAATCTACTTCGACGCGCGCTTCCCACTTTAGATGAAGAATCAGAAGCGCAGTTACTGTCTTCCCAATTCATCGAGAGTGTCCCCGACCACATTTCTCAGCGATTAAAACTGGTTAACGCAACGCAGCCGATGGATATTAGTGAGCTGGCGAAGGTGACCAGACAGCTGCTGAGCACAACGGTAGCCGCTATAGACCAACCAAAACCAAACGAATATGAGCAAAAATTGAAGCATTGCAGCGGGAAGTGGCGGCGTTAAAGTTGGCTGATAGAAAAGACCGGTGTTTTGAATGCGGTAAGCCGGGACACTGGAGAAGATACTGCCCAGAAAGGCGAAAAAGAAAAAATTTCAGACGGTATAATGCTTGTTCTTTCTTTCGTATGAACCTAGGTTTAGTGGGGGCTATTGAGAAAGGCGCTCTGTA